GAATATTTATTTAATCCTCAATTTTTATCCAATCCCCTAAAAAATAGCCACCCTGTGATATTATACACGTATGCCAACGTAGTTTCCAGTTTGAGAAACACTGGCTGAACGCCTCTTTAGGTATCGTCTTGAGCATGGTTTGCGATTTTGCCTTTATCTCATCTATTGTTGAAAAACATTGTCCTTTGAGTATCTTTTGAGTTTGGGAAATAGGAAAAAGTCACAGGGTCAGTCCGGAGAATAGGGTGGTTGCGGCATCACAACGGTGTTGTGTGTCGCCAGGATCTATTGCGGATAAGCAAAGCGGCATGCGTTGGTGCGTTGTCTTGGTGCAAAATCCACGAATTGTCTGTTGTCTTCGTGTCGTTTTCTCCTGGTTGCTTCACGAAAACTACTCAAAACATGTAGGTAGTACTGTTTTTAACTGTTAAATGTTAAAAATTCGTGATGAACTTTTTCATTGTAGGCGAAGAAAACGGTTACAAGGACCTTCACATTTGACCAGATCTCGCGTCATCTTCAATGTCTTCTTGGCCTTCCTGAAAACATTTGTACCATAGACCACATTTGTACCATTGCTAAACGCGTGGTTGTGACATATTATGATCGCCAAAGGCCTTCTTTAATATTTTGACGACTTCGCTGTACTTAATTCCGTTTTTAACACAAAATGTCAGACAAAAACATATTCGCTCGCTAAACACGAACTCATGGCGATTTCCATTGACACACTGAGTGTGCACCGAGTATATTTCCATCTCTTATTATCACTGTAGATAATACAGGATGGATATACACTGAATGCGCACTCAGTGCATCAATGGAAATCGCTATTAAGCGTAGTAGCTGCCTATAAATTGACAGGAACGTCACTAATGTAAGTGCTACCAATACAAAAAAAAGTATCAGCTGGATTGACAAGATACAATACGTGCAATTTGAAAATTCCCGTTACTTTTTGCTCAAACCTCGTATACACGACTGTAAATCTCAAAGTTCATGCATGCGTAAACCGAATATCTGTCGAATCAAATAGATACAATTTGGAATGTGGTGTTCCATTTTATTTGCGATACAGTTTAACCACAAATTTTGGTGGTTTGTTTATTTTCACATTTACTGCGTTGTTTTCGATATAAATAAATAACATTCTTTATTAGATAATGAAATGATAAAGCAATCGATTTTCTGTAAGTGGATTTACTTAGTTTCTCAATTTATTTTAAGTTATTTTACACATTATTATTATGCACACTTATATTACAGGTATGAATCATTAGTTTTATTGAGTATTATCTGTTGATTAATTATTTTCTAATGTAATGTAGATATGTGTTGTTATAATAAAACAATATTTCTCCAACAGAGTGCAGTAGCGCTGTAGCAAATTATGTATTTAAGTAAAATTGTTGCCGTCTTACTAATAAATTTTTAATGATTTTGCATTTACCAAAGTCAATTGACAATTATCGTTTTCTGCGAATAAGTATTGTTTGGTCTTGGTGCCTCTGTATAGATTGTTTTCACGTTATCTGAGAAGTCAAACTTATTTTCACTTTTGAAGACTGAATCTTGATCAAGGTCGATGTAAAAATCGAAATCTCGGCTGTAGAAAGTATTCTAATAAGCGCGATACTGATACGCCTCAAATTTCTTATTTATAAATTTAAATCTACGACATACCTTTTGAAAATATTGGTTTATAAGCGAATACGTGTACTTTTAATGACTTTCAAACCACAAAATAATATTTATATTACAATATTTCTTTGAAAACATTAAATGCTATTTCTCGTTAAAACCGCATGGGAAACTGACATAATGTTTACATAAGTCATATTCACCTCTGGCTAATAATACGCTGTTTTAAACGTGTACCTACCTTTTATTTTTAACGCTAAAACCGATGCTAAAATATTTTCCACATTGCACGAATTTCGCTACTCTACCTTTTATCGCAGTACGGTTCTGTACCGTTTGTTTATAGAAAGTTCCCTTAGATGATTTTATCTAAATTATGATGTATTGTTTTATTTTTTATCTGTCTCGCCATTTTAATTAACTAATCTTTATGCTTACTCCGGCACGTACGAGATAGCATTAAGTATTGTATGTAGGTACGTTTCTTGTAAATGATAATGTATGGGAATTTGGACGGGAAAGGGTAAGTGTTGCATAATGAAGTTCTAATTAATCGATGCAGATGAAATAGTTTGTAAGAAAATAAACACGTATCTCTTGCATCTGCATCAATTAATTAAGAATTGCTGAACCATAACAATATAATTGTATACGTTAATTTGGTTTTCCCATTCCAAATATTAGATAATGTCTAAGATTATATTATAATCTTAGTTGTGTGCTTTGAACATTAATTTTATGAGAAAAAAAGTGGAATATGTAATTATAGGCACTAGCGATAAAGTCAACAGTAATACCTCTACATTGTATAAAACGTAAATGTATAAGTAACAAAATAGACAATGATCAGTGATCACAAATAGAAAACAAAACCGATTTTCCTCCTGCTTTTCATTTTTAATGGTGGATTAAATGTTCAGCTCCAGCTGGAATCATGAAATATGATTCAGGGGAAGTTACTCGATGTCGGAACACGCCTTAAATATTTTTAACTACAATTAATCGTACCCATCGCTAGAAGTGCACTCACGTTTTTTTTTTGTCCAAATTGTAATAAATAAAAAGTGACTTGGATGTAGCTGTCGTCACGTAGGCAAAGCCATGAATAGACGTCCATACAAATGTTGATTTAAAGTGGAGCTGAAAGCATACACAAGGTGTGTGTGTAAACGTGTTGCTACTACGTGTGTGTAGTATTTTATTATTTTTGGTCTACGTGACAATGAACAGCGCGCCAGTCAAAAATATAACAAATGATAGGGACATCGTATATTTACTAACATTGATAATTGGTATATAGCACCATGTATACCCTTGTTTATTTATATTTTTTTATGTGTGGGAAAATTTACATAGCGATTTATTTTTAGGCTCCTCGTTAGAAGTGTTCTCGGTTACTGGCATTTGCATTTCGCACTGATTTTTAATTGATGCTCGTTCTCCCGTTTCTAATCGCTTCATAGAAGTGATGTCACATGTTTTAGGAATAACTTTTTTTTAATTTATTCGGTTACTTAAAATAACATCGTATAATTAACAGTTACTATTTAAAAATAGTTACGGCTTAAGTGGAATAGTCATTATAATTTTAAAATAAGATTTAGATTTTTGTCACAACCAAGTCAGTAACCATATTTAATCAAAGTCATTACTATTAAAATAATATAAATTACTTTTGCGCTTAAGTCTTGACGGAACTGACTCTTAAATTTATTTTTACTTTATAATTAATCGTAGGTACGTGTAGATATTTGAAATATTTATATTAGACAATGGGACACCTTGAAATTAATTTGAATATGGAGTTTCTCTTATTTATAAAATGCGGACGGATTGGTTTGCAAAGTTTTTTTTTTGATAAACTTATAATTGCGGTTTTATAAGAAAATACAAAAAAAACGGTTGTTTCAACGCATCTGATCATTCCACTCATTTCCTTTTTCAAGTGTGCTTCACGACACGTAGGCTCAAAATGTTGTAATCCCAGAAAAATCCAATAACAATTCTGATTTATACAGGGCGATATTATATATTTTTTAATATTTGCAAGCTTCTTTGATATGATGAAGTTTAAAGATAAATTTGATAAATTGGAGTTTATTTATATCGACTTTAAGTCGTTTCATAGGGTTAATTTTGCAAGACGTTAGAATCCGAAAGGTCCCTGATCGATATCATACTGGGTGTTTCCTTGGGAAAATTTTATCTTCTAATTTTATTATCTAAACATTCTGAAATTTCACTTTCGTTTTGTTGCTTTCAAATATATTGTCAAATTTCATCAGGATTACTGATTTACAAATGACAAAACCGTGTAGAAAAGTATAAAATTTCATGGAAGGAAGATTATTTGATAATTTAATTAACCACACAACTAATGGCAATGAAAATATTGTTAAAATAGGTTGTATGATGTCTTTTTTTTAATATCCTTTTTATTTTGTCATGTGTTTATATTACATATTTATTATTTATTATATATTTTTATGTTTTATGGATACTTGTTATTTCAACTCTATTTTTGTGTTCTATTGAATAAAAAAATACAAAAGCCACTTGTCTTTGAAATAGCTATTATCTCCTTTATACAGAGTGATTCATATAAAACTCCCCAGACCAATAATGTGATAACGGAGAGATTTTTTGAATCCGTAAAAGTTATTGATATAGCTCCTTGATGGTGTGAAATAAAACTTCAAGTAGAATTTTTTCGAAGCAAATTGAAGGTGCATGAAGTCAAAAGAACTTTCCTTGATTTTCAATAATTTTTGAGGCAACTCAAAATAATTTTGGAGGCTTAACCATGGTTTGTATTAATATATCAAACAGTAAAACTTAAACTAAAAGTCTTTACAGAATATTTAATTTAAATCTGTATAAAATTTTTATTGATTGGTGTACATTTCTATTATTATAAACTTAGATATTGCCATTGAAAATTTACTATTTTAATTTAATAACCAATCTCTCGAAACCTTTTAGTCTTAAGTTTTATTATTGTTTTAAGCAGGGATTCATTGCAAATTTTAGACTTGAAAATTACCATAGAGACCTTTATTTGATTGTGGTAAGAATTAGCAAATTTTTGAACTAGAAAAGGTGATATAGGCAAAACACAGAATTTCTACAAAAAATTTTTTGACCACTGCCATCTAGTTTCCTTTGGAAACAATCTGCTTTTACAGAATCAAAAAAATCTCTTTCCATTATCGAGTTATATAACCAGGGAATTTTATATTATCGAATCAGATTGCTGTAATATTTTTTTTTTAGATTTAGAGTATTAGATTTATTTGTTTTAAATTAAAATTGAGCATATTTCCTATTTAAAATACAATGTAGTCCTTTAAATTGTGCAGGCGATGATTGCCTGTTACCCTGGTCTGGGATCACACTACGTCAAACATGTGGACAACCCAAACAGGGATGGGCGGTGCATTACGGCGATTTATTATTTAAATCTCAACTGGGACGTCCGTACCTATGGTGGCCTCTTGCGGATATTCCCACAGGGATGGCTGGAGGACAAAGTAAGTAAAAAACGTCTTAAAATGTATAACTTCAATCGAATTGAATCCCAAAAATCTAATTTTCTTTCATTCTGTTGTAAATTATATGCATTATTGGCCTACAGTGGTGAATAACATTTCCTGTGCTATTTTCAGGTTGCAGATATAGAACCCCTATTTGATAGATTGTTATTCTTTTGGTCGGACCGAAGAAACCCCCACGAAGTACAACCAGCGTATCAAACTCGTTACGCTATTACTCTCTGGTACTTTGATGCTGCGGAAAGAGCAGAAGCACTTAGGCGCTACGAAAGAGAGAGTAAGTAAGATATTGAATATTTAAGATGTCTGTCTATAGCATTTCCCGATTTATAGGTGTATGTACGCAATAAGTAAAAAACAAAATTGCTGATTAAATGGAACATTATAAACGTGAATATTTTAAAACTATAACTTCGTCAAAGTTTCAAGGCTTGAGCTAGCTACGTGTTTTTTAGGTGACAATTTTTGAAATTTTATCAATTCTATCCAAAATATAATAACATTATTCTGCACCATTCGAAATGCCCCCTGCACCAATTTCTATAAAGAATTACTTATTTTTAAATTTTATATCCAAATTTAAAAGTGTATTCCTAGTACAAATATTTTTATTTATTTCAATGAATCTATGTACTTTTGATTCATTTAACATCAAGAAAAAGGACTGCAATTTTATTATAACTTTACTTGCACAACCACTATTTAAAAAAAATTACAGTTGCAGTAAGTCGAGTCAAAGGGTGTAGAATAATGTCGTGTTATAAGATTTTGCATAGACAAATTGGTAATACAGGGTGTCCCGAAATTCATGCAACAAAATTTGGTCACAGATTCTTAGGACTTTAAGGGACCCGTATTTTTTATTTTTGCCAAGCGCCCCCCTCTTTCGAAGTTACAGCCCCCTGAAGTCCGCCCCTAAGAATAATCTTTTTTTTTATATTTCAGAACTCTGTATTGTACGAGAATCATTAAATTTGGTACACAGGGGTTTTATGACATGTGGAATTTGATGGTGTAACGTTTTTTGGCGGGGAACCCCCTTAAGACAATTTTTTGTGGGCTCCCTTGTCTTTGGAGCCAAAAAAATTTGGTGGAATATTTAAATTTCTTAAAAATTATCAGTCCACTAGAACGCCATTAAATTTACAAACTTTTTGTCTCTTTATACTTTTTTCGTAAAACGCAATGCTTTCGAGAAAAATGTCAAAATGTGATCGAATGCATATCGTGATTCGCCATTTTCCTCAAAAACATTGCGTTTTACAAAACAAATATCAAGAGACAAAAAAGTTTCTAAATTCAATGGCTTTCTAGCTAACTAATAATTAAAAAAAAAAAATCAAATTTGCGACCAAATTTTTCTGGTTCCAAAGACAAGGGGGCCCACGAAAAAGTGTCTTAAGGGGGTTTCTCGCCAAAAAGCGTAGCACTGTGAGATTCCACATGTCATAAAACCCCTGTGTACCAAATTTAGTGATTCTCGTACATCATGGTTTTGAGATATAAAAAAAGACTTCCGGGCCAGTTGGCAAAAAGAAAAAATACAGGTCCCCTAAATTTGCCTTCAGAATCTATGACCAAATTTTGTTGCATGAACCCTGTATAGTATAGTACAGTAGCAGGTTTAGACTGGAATTTTGAGGAATGTTGTAGTTTCCAAAATTGTACATTTTTAAAATCTAATAATTTGGATTTTCAATTCTCTTTCACAATTTTTTTTCCCAAAGAATTTACTTTTATTCCTTAAACTAGCCTTCAAATATCTGAATATCTATTTTCTTATAACCTGATAAAACGTCAGTGTTTATTTTTTATTTAGATTTATATTGCGAAACCAGTTATAATCAATTTCGATGAAGTATAATTATTATCAGTTAATTAGAAAATTCTTGTTTGATAAAAATGATAACAGAATTGTGTCATACTCATTTTAGCTCCTTTTTATTATTTTGTGTATATACAGGGTGTAACTGTGAATGGAGGTCATATTTTTGTCTTTTGGAAACACGACATAAGTTTATTTTCGTAAATTCCGTTGTGAGAACAATTTTTTTTTTTTTAATTCTTTGTTTTCGTAATTTTAATATCCTGCCGCACCGGGGCACACTTATATTTACAAACTAAACACAGTGCTTTAAAAAAATAGCAACAAATATTTGAAATGATTTCAGAGGAACACATACTAAAAACACTGACATCTTAATGTTACATCCTGTATGTACAAAACCTTTAAAAATTTAATAGCAAAGAGGTAAACACCTGGATATAATGGGACCTTTTTAATTCTAGGAAAATCCTTACCTACGCAGTCGAAATGATGTCGACGTAAGAATCACAAGTGATTAAATTGTTATACAGTTTATGAACAGTTCACATGAAGAACATTTATTTATGATTACGTCCTATGTAAATACCTGTGAATTTTTATATATCTAAGACTATTTGTTAGTTTGATAGGCGACGTGTGATATTTTAAAAAAAATTGCCAATAGTTTTTGTGCATGTTCAGTTTCATACATTGTATTGTTTAGTCGGTATTAAAACTACTTAATTTAAGTGTATTGATAAAATACAAAGTCGATATATATTTTAATACTACATGTATATAATCTGTAGATGATTAGCACTGTATATATAAATGAAAGTATACACTTCTCTTATAGATTTGTTTTTAATTTATCATTATCATTATATTACCACTAGAGTTATATTAAATTTGGTAGTGCCTCTAATCGATTGCATATTTCAGGCAATGTGCAATATCCACAACATGACAAATTAGTTTTCGTCATAAACATAGGGATTTATAGAAACCCAGTAGATACTGATATCTTTATTTTGCTCATGAATTAATTACAGTTTTTGTACTTAAGTAATCCTCGAGATGGAGAGGACTAGGTTTTATTGTCGATATTCAGACTGGCAATGTTTAAAGTTGCAACTTTTGCACGTTGGTACACCTGTAGGATATTTTGTCCCAAGAATCTGTAAGAAACTCATATTTAGTGCTTTATTGTAAAATAATAATTGGTCTGTGCTTGAACGGAGGCTGGCCCTCTGTGAAATAGGCTGGACCAGACTGAAACTTTTGAGGACTTCTACCAAATTTGATGAGTTATTCTAACAAATGAAAGTAGTCAATAATTGCCATTTTAATAAATTATTGTTATTTAAGTGTTTTTTTTTTTTTGTAAGTTATAAGAACATGACTATGAGTTACGAGTAAAATTAAGACTTTCTTATATTATCTACCAAATGTAAAATTTGTTATAACAAAGGGTCATTTATTTCCCTATTTAATAATGTAATCGTTCTTGAATAAAAACCTTTTTTACGAGTCTATGTTTTTAGAAAATCCTTCAAAAATTATTTTTCGTTAAACATTTGATAAACAGCTACACAATTTCCCTGAAGCTTACCTGAAACCAACAAATATTGCAAGAAAACCGATAGTAGCGCCGAGTATTTGCACATAAGAATTATTGTAAAAATATATTAACGTCCAACATGCTGCTACAGTTACACACATACAAGTTGCTACTATAACTATGATACTCCGTTGATTTACTGTGAATCCATTTTTCCATTTTACTTTGCCGCCGCTACATATGTTGTATTCACATTTGCAAATCTCACATCTTGCAATTTTATTCTTGGTCGCATCCTGCATTAACCACCTATGTAATAAAAAAAATTCATGAAATAATTATTTGAACAGATTTTATTAAAAAGTATATCTGCTAATCTAATTACAAATAAGTTGTTTTTGGTATATTGATATTAATATTTATTTTTTCCTATTTATTAAGGTATTACCTATGTCATCTATGAAACAATTAAATATTAATTAAACCCAATAGGAACTGTCGTGGTTTTATGGAACTGTTTTTTCCTAATAAAAAATCTCGTACTGACAAAACAAATAAAAATTATAAATAATTACTCTTAAACGTTTAAAAAATGATCTATTTTCGTTTTCAAAATTGATATTACTTTTTAATAGAGATGGGCACTTTTCGGAAAAGTGTGTTACGGACAAGTCGGGAAAAATACTTCCGACTTGAATCTAATAAGGCACCTATGAGTGACGTCATGTTTTCACTGCTTGAGGGTACACAAAGCAAAATATTTTATTCTAATGAATATGTGTCGATATATTTTATTTATTACCTACCATTAGATTTTTTTATAAACTGGTTTCTAATTTTCCCCGGACAACCAATACACTTATTTAAATGTTTTTCCATCCTACTGGAATTCTTAAAAATTGTTTTTGAGCACAAGTTACTTTTATAATGATTTTTACTCAATTCGGAAAAATATAACCAAACTGTTGATTTTGGCGTCATACTTCATTTATAAACTATTTGTGTATTAAATATTAAATTAAGAATCAACTGATTACTATTTACTAATCGTTAACTTTGCCAAAAATAATAAAATATCGACATATTTTTAAAATGTCAGTTTCAGTTAAACAATTACCAACAAAATTACAAGAAAATGGCTAAATATCTTTAATTCTACATATACCATCCTCAAAAATTTTTTGCAGGAATTATGAATGCAACAAATGATGGACATGTTCAGCTGACATGTCCGCGGCACATCTCTACTTTTTAATAAATTTATATTTTTTTTTTTACTGTTTTCAGTGTGACTATTTTGGTTAGGCAAAAAGTTTCATAAAGTAGGCCTTGATTTAGCATTTTAGTGGAAAGGTTTTTTTAAATATTTCTCCTAGTTCTGTATGCACACAGTCCAAATTCAAAAACCAGTGGCGGAGAAACAAAGATATCGTTTCCTTATTTAAAGTAAAATAGCCTCTTCTAGTTAATGAAGGACATACCTTTGGACCAACGAATTGGAAACTGGTTTCAAATGGACGGGACCCCAGCATATTTTGGCCAGGTAAGTTCGTGAAAGACTGACAAACCACTACCAAAACAGATGTATTGGTCAGAATGATCTCATACTTTGGCCACTTAGATCACCTAATCTAAATATTTTAGATTATTTTATTTGGAGCAAACTAAAAAATGAGGTTTACCTATGCTGTTGCTATAGCGCATAGAGACCAGCTAGTGCAAAGGCCTGCACTAATTTGAAGCAAAATCCAGTTTTAATCAGAGCTGCTGTGAATTCTATAACCAAAAGATGCCAAAAATTCATTGACATGTAGACATTTTGAGCAATTGATTTAATTAATTTGTTTTTCATTTAACTTTACTGTGTACCAAATTTGAATAAATTTGATGAAGCGGTTTTCTAGATATTTAAAAAAATTGTTTTGTTTTTGTTAATTTCAACATCTTGTATCTCATAAACAGTGGCTTTCTGCACCTCTGTTCATAAAGCAAAGTGATGTTAATTATTTGGTATTTTCCCGAAGTTTGTCTATTAAACTCTGGACCACCCAAATTTATTTTATTTTTCCATATTTCAATGCTTTGTTTACTTATATATCTCATAATTCATAAACGATTCATTTTTCGACAAAAATAGAATGTTTTTACATCCGGAATGTTTCAGACCGTTATAAAATGTATTCATATTATCAATTAATTCAGTGGCGTAGAAGTGTTACTTTCAATAAGGAAACAATATCCTTGTTTCTCCGCCACTGGTTTTTGAATTTAGACTGTGTGCATACAGAACTAGGAGAAATATTTGAAAAAAAGTGTACCAAATTTGGCTAAATTTGATGAAGCGGTTTTCCAGTTATTTAAAAAAATTGTTTTATTTTTGTTAATTTCAACACCCTATATCTCATAAACGGTGGCTTTCTGGACCTATGTTCATAGAGCAAAACCAAGCAAATCTGTTGATTACATCAATAATAAATTATTCAACAGTGACAAAATTTTCTTAAAAAACTATTATTTTCCATCCCGTTAAGTATAAAAGCAACAAGCTCCATGTAATTTTTTATTATTGATTGATAATATAATTCTTCTAATTCTAACAATCAATCATTTTTTAAATTCCAAGAATGTACTAATCAATCATAATCATAACTACAGTCACAATGCAGCCATTGTGATTGTAACTGCCGTTTCCCACGGTAATAAAATGCAGTACGTGCCATTTGTTAATAGTTGAAAAAAACTGGGATTGTGTAGCAACATAGATTACCTTGTATATAAAAAAATTCAATACTTTCCCACCATTGCTCAACACTAAAATTGAAATTATCCATGACTTAAGTCAAAAATCGAGTAGGATGTCATTTTGTCTTATTAGAATTAACGGATAAAATTGCTGAAGTACAGTATTAAAAAATACTCAATCACCTTTACTTGAACGAGGCTTTTAGGGCTTTGTATGTAATAAATTTGTATCGATAATTACGTGACTGAAGTCGTAAGTCATACAAATGAGTTACGAGCAAGAAAATGCACAACATTTTATCATTTTCGTTACTGTATAACTTTTGCGTGTTACACTAATAAGTAATAATTAATGAAAGAACTCTATTTATACCTTGTAAGGCACTGGTGATGAACGCTGGATACATCTCCTTTACAAAGGCATGGTTCGATGAGTGCATCTTTTTTATCTCTATCGTAACATATCCAGCAATCTTTTGTAAGTGGAACTGTATTCACTTCAACCGTAATATTTATATCGCCAAGTGAGTTTTCCGATAAACTAGGTTGGTTAAGTGAATTTAATAGTCCAATTGGATTCAGAATTACTTCTGATGACTGCATTTAACTGAAGGCGCTGAAAAAAATTCATAGAATTCCAATTTTTCTAAGGAATGAATAAAGATTCTGAAGTGGTTGCTGATTCCACTTTGAACTGCACGAAAAGACTATTAAAAAGAGAATTATACTCTTTTTGTACATTGAACATATAACAAAGTGGATTCAGATCATATTTTAATATTTTCTTTGAACCAAACTTTAAATAATTACCTCTGGATTTGAGAAAGACCACTTTCAAACCGGGTATAAATCACCACTGGTACACTCGAAATATTAGAGTATAACAATAACAAAGTTATATTGGCATGCCTTTTTTGTGAACTTTTATTAGTTTATTAATGGTTATTGTACCCTTTTTTGTACAAATCAATGTTATAAATGAAATTAAGAAACAAACTTCTTTAGGCATCAGTAATTGTTAACAAGAATACTATGTTTTGCTAATCAGTAATCAATGCTGTGTCAAAAAATAAATTATTATACAGGGTGTCGCGCTTAAATATGATATAAGCCTGCAACTTCTTTATTTTTTGGCCGATTATTATTTTTTTTTATGAAATGTTGGGTAAAAAAAACTATCTGAGTGTGATTCTGCTGTTCTTTTTATTAATGCAATACACGGCCAACTAGTGCTCGTCTGAAAATGTATCGAATTTGATGAAACTTGGTGATAATGAATGAGAATACATAATGTTTCGCTTTTAAAATCGCTAATACCAATTAGCTGTTTTGACGTCAAAAAAACGCGTCCTAGTTGGCAGTGAATTGCATTAATAAAAACAGCATCTTTACAGTTAGTTCTTTTTATACTACATTCTAATAAAAAAAATTTGAAATCGGTCAAAAAACAAAGAAGCTACAGGCTTGTATCACATTTAAGTGTGACACCCTGTATATGGCTAATTTCAGTGTTAATATTAAGTATACTTTTATGGTTAGCTTAAACAACCTTTTGTACAAATGTATGAAATCATAGAATATGTAACAAAATATTGCTTACACAAAAATGCATTTAGAAAATATTTCAGTGCATTCTAAGAACTTTATAGTTACAGAGTCCTATTCATGTATAATTATAAATATCTATAAAAAAGTACAAAATATTTGTACTAGGACTGTCAAGTAATGCTTCAAATTCCACAACTTCGAACATTTTCGGTTGACCAAGGAGTTCTTTGTCACCACTTCTAAAATGTGAAAACCAATATTCACTCATTGATGACTTTCAGCAGCACATTTCTTTAAATTAAACAGGAAAAGTTAAATTTTTATCGTTAATATAGTTAAAGAAGTGTCCAATGCGATATTGCATAAGTTACGCCATCTATTGACTGATGCAGCAACTCGGCATTGAAATATTTGAAAAACATGTTTCCATATTTATTTAACCATACCCATATGCAGGTCTGGTCGAACCAAACATGGAGGTGGTAGAAATGTATATGTCCAGTTGAAGAATGGGAGCGTGGGCAAACGAAATCTAACAGAACTGCATTAGACCACTGGGCAATAAATCTCAGCTGTTGACCAATTGCTCAGCAGTGCAGTGCAGCAATGCGGAATTTGGTGTGATTCAGGTAATTTTAATTTTTTATAGGCACCTTCTATTAATCATTAACATTACAATTGCAAAATGGAGAAATAATATTATTATAACATGGCATTTTGGAGACCTTTTCAAACAAAACAAAACGAAATTTACCATCAATATAATAAAATTGTTTGAGGACATAAATATTTATGTAAATATGTAGTTGGCTAAATGAACATATAATAGAAATTTTCTACACATTAGCTTTGTTCCAAGTGCATTAGAATTAGTTTCCAACAGTCCGACGCAATCGCATTTGCTTCAAAACAATGAATTTTGAACCTTATGTAAGCTTTATATCCATATGCGCATGCGTCTGACTGTTGGAAACTGTTTTGGATTCTACTAGGAACAAAGCTATTATATACAACTTATAATTTTTTACATTTAGCATAAAACTTTTTTAGGGACGCCTATGAGTCATTAAATTTTATTGTCAGGCGTTTTTTTACATATTCAACTGACTTCCGAAAGACTATACCTGCTTCTTAAAGTTATTTTTGTGAATATATACTGGTCCTATCAAAAAAATATAAATCCTGTTAGTTTTATTTAAACGTATAAAAGTATAAATTACAATTCACAATCATCCAATGAATCCGTAAAAGGTGTGTATGATTTAAATTGAAAACCACTCTCACAGAAAGATCCCTAAAATAAAAGTAATGAATTTATAACTACCATAGGTAATTAGACAAAGTAAATTACTCACAGGATTAACAACATGACATCCTTTATGTTTTCCTTGATAAGCCTCGGATTTGTCACCAATAACGATTAGATCTGGCAGGGGATATAATCTTAAGCAGTAGTCAAAATCCCAATGGACAGTCAGAGAATTTAAAGATAAAGGACTTAGATGTCCTTGATTGATCACAGTCCTTACAACCTATAAGAAATTGTTATCTCTTCAAGTGCGTATTCAAGTTATTCGTGAAATACCTACACAGTCAGCTATTTCATCTTTCGCGGGTTTGTACAAAGTTGCTTGTAGTAATTTAGGTACAATATCTGCTCTGAATAATACTATCTCTTTTGTGCAATATTGTAATCTACACGGGTTTGTAGCAAATATGGATTTTGGTACCATCTTACTAAAGTCACTAGTTACGTACTTAGGCAATGGTAATCTAAAAACTAAAAAATATACAGTATACACAATTAAAATGTATAAATACATACCTTGGTACAAGATGAGGTGTACATGGATCAATCAAACCTGGTACAAAGACAAACTGACTTACATTAACGATATTTGGAAATTTCGATATCATCTCTGCTAATTTTTTGAATAATTTTTTTAAAGTATCCATCACTTCACTACCATGTGATTCCGACATGAAATTTCCCATAAAAACGAAGGCTATCGGTGGGGAAGCCTGTATTCCCTCAAACAGATACTCTAATTTTTCAAATATCTGAAATTCATTGTACAATATCGTTTAGGTCCTTATTTTATATGCAAAAAAAAGAAATTATTCAAAACATGTTTATGTAAATATTTCCATATTTAGACAATGTACAGTATGTCTACGGTTAGAGTGGATTCTTGATTAAAATTTTTGCTCGTCTTTAAAATGCGGTTGGCATGGAGAACTTTCATCTTGCATGTACAAGGTGATCAGAAAATCATTAAATATAAAAGTCGTTCAAGAATACTTTTGTTATTAAAAGTATCCATATGCAGATTATACATGGTGTTCCTAAATAAGTGTCGCAACGGAAAACTGTAAATTCCTCTTGAAAAAAGAAACATTCTTTTCCTCTTCCATTTTTCTCTCCGGGCTTTCATTTTCGAGATACACGGTGTCAAAACTTTATTTTTTTTTTAGTTTTTCGCCAATATCTTGGGAATCGTTTGAACTACAGGACTGAGCTTTTGTACACACATTAGCACTATTAATAGCTACTTTTTCGCACCCTTCTCGAATTCATTGGACGTGCCAGTGGTGGAGATTTTAAGGTATCGTAAGGGTTTTTCCCCCCCTAAATTTTACGCCACTGGAAAAATTGACTTTTGACAGCAAATTCTAAAGCGCCAATGAATTTTACACAATAAGAGTTCTCTTGGTTCATTGCTCTAAAGTCAACCGTTTTCAAGAAAAATGACTTTTTATGAACAAAAGCAAACATTTTGCTAACGTTTCGAAAATCTTTTGTAATTCAAAAAATAGGTAGTAATAATTAACAATTTTAACGAAATTTAACAACAGATAGGATTTTAACTTTTTTTTATCAATTTGGCGAGTAAAATTTACAGAAACTGTTCAAAATTACGTCCGTTGGCTTGAATGCACGCATTACATCTTCTAATCATGTTTCTTTCTGCCGCTGCGGCTTCACCTCTATCGGTCAACTTTTCGATAGTATTGACATGGATTTCATAAACGATGCATTTCGTTCTCCGGATGTTCTGTTCAGTTACTTGCACTTGCAAAATGTTCAAAATGCAAAATGCAAAATGTAAAAAATTTTCGAAACGTTAGCAAAATGTTTGCTTTTGTTCATAAAAAGTCATTTTTCTTGAAAACGGTTGACTTTAGAGCAATGAACCAAGAGAACTCTTATTGTGTAAAATTCATTGGCGCTTTAGAATTTGCTGTCAAAAGTCAATTTTTCCAGTGGCGTAAAATTTAGGGGGGGAAAACCCTTACGATACCTTAAAATCTCCACCACTGGCACGTCCAATGAATTCGAGAAGGGTGCGAAAAAGTAGCTACTAATAGTGGTAATGTGTGTACAAAAGCTCAGTCCTGTAGTTCAAACGATTCCTAAGATAATGGCGAAAAACTAAAAAAAAATTAAAGTTTTGACACCGTGTATCTCGAAAACGAAAGCCCGGAGAGAAAAATGGAAGAGGAAAATTATGTTTCTTTTTTCAAGAGGAATTTACAGTTTTCCGTTGCGACACTTATTTAGGAACACCCTATATATCGATGTCGAGCCTTGAGCGTCCATACTTCCAAAATATCAGTAGTATTCCTAATTTCCAGTATGTTCAAGGATAAAATCTGTATATTCACTATAAACTCAACTATTTTTAGCAAAAATTTCCTCCCAACGGTCCTTGCAGTTCTTTGAATTGAAAACTACATTTAAAGCCTCGTCTGGTTGGAGACCTGCCTGATAGTGCAATAACATTTATTTTTGAATGTATGGAAGGTGTAATATTTTTCGCTTACTAATTTGGAATTAGCATTGCATATCACTACAAGTTAAATAAGATTTTTGAGCAGAAAATTTGAGAAAAATATGTAATCAAAAAAATTTAGTTATATAAAAAATCTTTTTATTAAAATAATTATTATTCTATACATATTTCTATTTGTACATTATATTATCTATGTATAAAATTTGTACATTACAACAAAAATTAAATAAAAATATACTAAAACAAATTAAGAATATATGCAGTCGATATGTGTTTCTTCTATATCTTATTAGAAAAATAATGTTCCAATAACTATTTTAAAAGACTATGCCACGACGGATTTAACAAAAACCTATTCTGGATTTTGTTTAGAACTGTCGCTACAGATCCGTCTGTATTTTCAACATTTATTGAAACTACATCCTCTGTAAATGTTTCAAGTTCGGATGGTTCGAGTTCATATTTGATGCTTCCAATATAAACGTCGAGTTTTCCAGATCTTCGAACACAAAGTTTTCCTATTTTTCCTTCTGGTAAATCCGTCAACTTACAATCTACAACCTTTTTCTCTGTTTTACTTTGCATCCCCAAAGAATCCGGTAACTGCCACAATGTGACTGTAGGGTTCTTATTAGAGATTTCTTGATTGGTATTCTGGCACTGGAAATTACTTGAAAAGTCTGTAAGTTCATTTTTAACTTCATCTTTTAGTGTTTCTTTTAATAAATCTTGCGAGTTCCAATTTATCGGTGCAAAAGCAGGATTACTCTCTTTAGAGTCATCCTCGTCACTTGCTTCATCAAATTTAAACAAATAATTTGGAATTTCTTTTTCTGCTTCTTTGGGCACCGGAGGAGTCTTATTTACATTTATATGAGGTTTTTCAACGTCCTTTACATAAACCTTTTTTTCTGGAATCCTATTTAAATCACCAATACCTTCTGAAAATACTCCGGTAGATTGTACAAATCTATGTTTTTGTATATTTTGAGACTGACGATTTTCTCTAGCCGCTTTATCTCTCTTGGAAACCTCTTTTGTTTTCTCTTTGTTCCTAACAACATTTAAATTGGGTTTGTATATTTTTTTTGGTAACTTACTTCCACCGAGGCTTAGATCGCGAGGCAGTCGCAGCGACTGTAATCTGGGCCCTCCGGAATTTTCCTTGATGAAATCTTTAACGTCGAATTTGTTTAATTTCTTCGTTTCCATAATAAATTCAAATCAACACAACTAAATTTTCCTGTTTGTTGATTTTATTTTGACATATGGTTGACAACTGACATACACATAAACCACAGATCAAGAATGTCTTTTCTTGATCTGTGATATAAACCATAGAACAAGGCCAACAAGGGGGGCTTTCGTTTTGGCAAAAATAGTACCTATTAGCAACTAATATCAGTTCAGAGTAACTCTAAGTTCCTATTAGTTACTAATAGCTTCTATTTTTGCCAAATCGAAAGGCCCTAAGACTTGTACAAGAAACACCGCGTGTTAAAAAGTGTAGACACTGTGGAGAGAAAAAGCGATAATTTGAGTACTCGCTCCTTCTCTTTCTGTAATCGTTGAGGAAGGAGTTCCGTTAGCCAATTACATGCCTGTGCGAGAAAGAAATATAGTACCCAAACTACATCTTTCTCTATCTATCCTTAGTCTACACTGATTACAATCAGTAAGCCAAGTATAACATAATATTTTCTTAATTCTCATTGGTTGTTTACTGATTGCAATGTCAATATCATAGAACACAGGACACAGGTAATTACTTGACAAAAAATGCAAAACCCCTCTATTCATGTCCTGGGATTCTTAAACCGAGGCAACATTTCAGGTGTGTAATGCTCCGCAGTTGCCCCAGACCGAGAAGAGTCTTTCCTTTGTTGTGCTATCTGTCTTACTAACCCCTTTCGGCGAAAATCCGAACACAAATCTGAAGAAAGTTAAATCTCTGAGGACATGGGAACTTCCAGACATACCACCCTGTATATCATCCTCCGAGAATGTGTTATAGAATAAAGTGTGAACCTGGCCAAATACATATAAATGTTAGGCCATCAATTGAGAAGAAGAAGAAGGTAATTACCTAAGGACATTGGTAAATTTGTACATGCTAAAGGCCACCATAGACTGTGCGTTTTACATTGTGAAGATTATACGCACGGTGCGAATTAAAAAAAAATAGCAATAAAACAACTTACCAAAGGGTGGTCAAACCATACATCAGAAAAAAACATAATCATTTCACTTTTATTCCTGATTAGGTGCTCTTTCAATCTCTGAGAATCCTTCAGTGGGACACTCGATAAGCCACCAAAATAGTTTATGTTTCCGAAAGAATGTCTAAAATGATAAAATCAATACTATATTCCAAATTTTAAAAAAAAATGTAATAAAAATGTTTAATAAATAACCTACCTTGAATCTTTATATTCTTCTCCAGGAGGTAAAACTATTGTTGATACATGTAAAATCTTATCCTCATAATAACCATTAACAAGTACAAAAATATTTTCGACAAAAAATCCTCCATGGTACCTGAAATAGTTTATCACTCCTCATTTAAAACCAAAATAAATATACCAAATATTAAAGTAGCTGATTGAAAAATAGTTAATACTAACTTAGCATGGGTTAAATCTAGTTGGACTATACCAGTTGGGTCTTCTAAATAATATTTTCCTTCAGTTACTTGCAGTATAGAGCCTAATATTAGAGTACGGTCTAAAGTAACATAAGACAATGTTAATAAATAATCAACAGTCTGTAATTTTAACTGGTCCCTTCCACTGTCCGAGATTTTGTGTAAAAAATTTCTTTTTGTTCTTTGCAGGATTGTAGAATATCTCTCTAAAAACATTTTTGCTTTTACATCTGCACTGGCCAACATTTTTGATTTAGCGTTATCGATAAAATACATTTTTCTGTCTGGATTGTATTTAAGTTTAGGAAAGTCAAAGGCATTTATTACATTAAACACTGTTTCATGACGATCATATCCTGAATGTAAGCAAACCTAAAATAAATAAACAGGTAATTTAATATTAATTTAAATTGTAATTCATGAACATATACTTCAATTGCACGATCTATATGTTCCCTTTCAATACTCCTATCTGATAGGCACTGCGTTTCCAAACTATTGCATATATCCTTAACAATGTTGTTAAAAGTTGAATCTTTGTCTAATTCAACCCCTTCTCTCGAACACTTGTCAATTATTAATGCACAAAATTCGCTAAAAATTGTTAGTGATATTTTAATTAAGAAAAAATAAGTATACATACCGTCTGACACTAAAACCGCTAAGTTTTAATGCACTATGTAACTTATTTTTTAACTTTTCGCTTGAAGACATTCTGAAACTGAATGAATTCTGAAATTATAACCTAAAAAGACAAAACAAATTATAAAACCACCAAAATATTGATGTTTTGAGAAGATGGGTTGGTGGTCTTGGTTGACCAATGTCAATTTCAAATATTTCAATTTTATGAAGAAGAAGAGCAATTTAATGTAGACGTCAAAATAATAAACGTCAGTAATGTCAAGTAGAAAATGGAAAACGGTGTTTAGGTTAAGTTTTTAAATGTTTACAAAAATATATACAGGCGTAATTAAATATCATTATGTGGTCGTTTTTTTCTCGCGATCCATCTAAAGATTTTAATTTTGAAATTGGAGAATTAGTTCCAAGTTTAGAAAATAAAAGTGTATGGACCCTTCACAAAGGCAAAAAAAAGGTAAGTGTGAAGTAGTTATAAAACCTGCATTAAACGTGATTAATTTATTGTCAGGGCTCAAATGAAGAAGTTTCAGTTTTTGTCTTTGACATTAAAAACAATTCAGATGCCCAGTTAGAAATAGCTAAAGCAGCAGTCAAAAGATTAAAGACTTTGAGGCATCCTAGCGTGCTTACATACTTGGATAGCTTAGAGTCAGAAAAAGTCTTATATTTGGCAACAGAATATGTAGATCCTCTAGGTGAACATTTAGAGAAATTGCCATTAGATGGACCTCAGAGAGATCTGTACGTAGCTTGGGGTATTTTTCAAATAACGGTATGTTGCTTTAATTTAATTTATAATATCTGCTTATGGTTTAATAATTTTAGCGAGCTCTGTCATTTTTAAATAATGATGGAAATCTTCGACATAATAATGTGAATATTTGGTCTGTATTTGTTAATTCTTCCGGAGAGTGGAAACTTGGAGGTGTAGAATATGTAACTAGCGTGCAAGATACTAACTTTCCTTTTAAGCTTATTCAATCTTTGGATGTATATGACCCTCCTGAGAAAAATGATCCTAGTAAGCAACGGTCTGCAACAAAATGGTAACATTATTGTCTTTTCAAATGTGGTGTTTTTACATTTAAAAATATTGCAGTTCTAACGATATGTGGGGCTTAGGATGTCTCATTTGGGAGGTGTTTAATGGACCCCTTCCACAGCAAGCTTTGTTGAAAAAACTCGATAAAGTATTATTTGTAGTTACTTTAATGAGACATGTTTTATTACTGAATTATTTTAGATACCAAAACAGTTAGGTCCCTTGTACTGTGAACTCGTGGGTTCTAATCCAGCTTCTAGACCCAATCCTGCCGATATTATAACGAGGTGTCGCAAGTTGGGTGGTTATTTCAAGAATGATTTGGTTGATACTTTGCTATTTCTTGAAGAGATTCAAATTAAGGACAAAAATGAAAAAAATAGATTTTTTTCTAATCTTACTCCCCACTTGGACAACTTCCCAGATAACGTATGTAAACACAAGATTTTGCCACAGTTAATTACAGCATTTGAATATGGAGATGCTGGTTCTGCTGTATTAGCCCCAATGTTTAAGGTAAGAGATTTTATTAATGTACAATGTTCATTCTTTATAAAGAATTTTACAAATTATTGTTCCGTAACTGTATAAGTTGTTATGAATTGTGAGATTCATGTTTTTGATAAAATTATATGATGTAAATTTTTTATTATGTTTTGTTTTACTTTACCGTAATTCACATTATTGTTCCATTGCTTTTCTGTTCATTGTAGTTAGGAAAATTGTTGGATGAAAGTGAGTATCAGAAGAAGATTGTGCCATGCGTAGTGAAATTATTTGGAAGTAACGACAGGGCTACCCGATCAAGACTTCTGCAACAGTTAGAATTCTTTATCGGACATTTGCAGGCTGGTACAGTTAACGATCAAATATTTCCTCAAATTGCTCATGGGTTCATGGATACTAACCCCACCATTCGAGAACAGACTGTCAAAGTAAGTATAGCAATATCTAATCATTCGTAAACTGTTTTACATTTGCTGTTTTTTAATGCAATAAATTATTTAACAAATTGTTACCATTCACTACTCTTAATAATAAACTCCAAGAGATTTATAGGAAAAATAGATCTTAATTTTGAATATTATTGATGTGATTTTTATATTTTTCTGTTACTGTTTCTTGTGTTGTTAAAGCCATCATTTACTATTTACCTAGGCCCTTCAAAAAGTTCTTGGAATGTCTATTATTTGAATTAGCTAAAAAATTAGAAATTTATAGGGATTCTATGTATTCCTAATTGTGAATAATTACAGTCTTGAAGTCTGATTTTCTTATGCAGAACAACCCTATTATATCCAACCCAACCGATCAAAAATTTTTCTGAAAAGTTTAGATCACAATATGCGGCCATAAGCATATTTCACCTTAAAACTAGTGCTGGCAAAAACCGGAAAAAAGTGAAACCGGTTAACCGGGTTCCGTAAAAACCGATTTCAGATAAAACCGGTTAGTCGAATAGTTGCTAAAACCGGTTATTCGAATAACCCGTTACTTGAATCGCCAAAACCGGATACCTGAAAATCGGTGCTTTACAAAGACAGACCCGGAGAAATTGTCTAAGGTCAATTACAATCGGACAAATCGATGCCTAAAAAAAAAAAAAAAAAGGAAGTAGATTATCAAATAATCGGTTATTTGAATAATCGGATATTTGAAGATTCGAATAACCGAATAACCGGTTTTCGGATATTTGAAGAATCGAATAACCGGTTTTCGGATTTCATAAAAATCCGAATTATCCGAAACCGGTTAACCGACTATCCAAAAAACCGGTTTCAGTTGCCAGCACTACTTAAAACACTAAACAAGTACATACACATTTTTTTAGTACAACCAGGTACGTTATATTTGTTCTTTGTTGTGTAGTCAAAAATCTTTTTTTTAACTAAAGGAGGCAATGCTAAAATGAACTGTATATGTGTTTTTATGATCTATCATTCTAATTTGATTTTTAAATTTTTCTCTGTGAAATGACATTCATGCATACTAAGTATGTAAGTATGTACTTAGTGTGGATGAGATATAACCTACAAAGTATATGTCATCACTGTTTCTCACGTTATCATTAATTAAATATATTTTTAACTTGCTAGATAAAAATGTACTACCACTTACACTTTTTCCAAGACAATTAAATAATATTGCCAAAAAAAAGGCATAGAAATTATCAGCTAGAATACTTTCTCTATGAGAGTGATTTTAAATTAATGTAATAAATATTGCAGCTTTTGTTATTATTTTTTTTACTTGTTGCAATAAATCGGTCAATTTATTGGTCAAATTTGGGGCTGCCAACTAGAAAATGAATCATTCATGATAACAACAAATCATAAACTAGATATAATATACATACTTGTAACATACACGAGACTTTTGAAACTGTAAAAAAACACTTATTTATATGTAACCTTTAAAAATGTGTAATAAAACAGGTCAAATATTGTAAAATTAAATAAAACTGGTATTATTGCATAAATATAAACTAAAAATCACAAATATCATACATTATGTAACACGTGTACCAATACGTTTTAGGGTGGGTGTGCCAAATTCTTCATTATTGGATCAAAAATTAGTAAATGTAAATAAGTTGAAAACTTTATAAACATTAATTTTTTTAGTCTGTGATACATCTAGCACCTAAGTTAAGTTACAACAATTTGAATATAGAAGTGCTTAGACATTTTGCGAGACTCCAGTCTAAAGACGACCAAGGTGGTATTCGTACGAATACCACTGTGTGCCTAGGAAAAATAGCGCAACATCTGCATCCTCAAATCCGTCAGAAAGTTCTTATATCTGCATTCATCAGAGCCATGAGGGATCCTTTTCCACCGGCAAGAAACGCAGGTATGCAACTACTTAAACTTAAATATTCTTTCCATATTTTTCAATATTTATATTTACCGAATTGTTTCTTAGGTGTATTGGCACTAGCTGCTACGCAACAGTACTACCTGTTATCAGAAGTCTCAGCAAGAATACTTCCAGCTCTCTGTCAATTAACCATGGATCCCGAAAAATCTGTTAGGGATTCGGTTTTCCGGACGATTAAAGGATTCTTAGGGAAGCTAGAAAAAGTGTCAGAAGATCCCAGTTTAAGGGAAAGTATGGGTACGTCCATTATTCTTTTCCTTGAGACAATAGAATTATCGTTGACTAATTTTAGAGGCAGATGTGAACACAGCTACGCCCAGTTTGGGTAATGCCGCAGCCACCTGGGCAGGTTGGGCCGTTACTGCCGTTACTGCCAAATTCTATCGAAGTCAATCCGATACGGTGAAGTCGGTGAATCCTATGGGCAACAAGATGTTAAGCAAGCCAGGATCTTTAGGTAAAAATTAATTCTTTATTTTAGAAACATTTTTAGATTTTTCGTTACTAAGATCATGGAAATTAAGTTTAAAGTATACTCTTTTCAGAGCAACCTTCCAGTAGCAGTATTTCAACAACAACTTCTAGCGTAACTTCCATGACTTCACTGGAACATGAAGAAGGCAGTCGCGGCAACGACTCTGTCTCGGATTATGACTACAATCACTGGGAAGATAATGACAATTGGGGCGATATGGAGGTATGACCAGAAAAACTTTGGGGATGTCTCACTAATCTAAAAGTCGAATTTCTGTTGTGTAGCTGCGATTGTACAGCTTATAAGGAATCAGAATCCGTAATTGCCTTAATTTTTACATTTGTCGTAAAATGACGATATAGTTTTGGAATAGTTCAAAATTATCAGCTAAAAAACAACCAACTTTTGTTAGTTCACGGATATTTATGGAAATATACTTTGACAAGGTCAAATTCTATCGTCTTTAAAATACAGTAACACTACTTACATGTGTATATACAGGGTGTAACTTTGAATGGGAGTTATTTTATGTGGAAGTTATCTTTGACCTTTAGAAAGGTATATCATAAGTTTGTTGTCCTAAATTCCATCATGAAGACTGATTTTTTTTTTACTTTTTTTTGTGATTTTCATATTCCATCTCTGATCAGGCTAGTATAACCTCAAAAAACAATGTTCGCTAACCACGAGCGCAAGCTGTGGCATGCATTGTTGTCAAATCTCATGTTTCCTTTTTATAATATCACACAAAAATCGAACAATAAAGACAAAAAAATAATGCAGAATGTTGCAAAATTACTTATCGTATCTTAAACTGATAAACTGAAAATTAAAACAAACCAAATGAAGTAACGTAGACATATTCAACTATTCTTGTTTCATCAAATCAACGGAAGTTGTTTTTTGTCCACTTAACACCTTGTCATATCACATCAGGTGGATTGATATTAATACCTAAATTAGGTCAATATTAGAGGTCAATGACAAGATTTACAAACTAAACAAAGTATATATTTTTTAAACTTTATATTTCAAAAATATTTGAGATCAATTAGATTAATAAGTATTTTTGTTTATTTTTTAGTGTGTATATTTTATAGAACAGCAAAATTAGTTATTTTAAAACATAAATTAGTCTTACAATTATGTAAAAAGTATGAATTTTATAAGAACACTCAATATTTTTTTTTAAACTTTGGCCCTTCGTTGGCATTGATACATAAAAAGAATGGTGACTCTAAAATAGAATGTTGCAAAGCTACTGTTTTTGCAAAATTATTTTCCATTGCAGTTTCACTCTCTGCCCCTCCATTAGTTTTGAGGGTTACTGTCGGTGTGCAGCAAATAAAACTCTCTCTCAATGGTAAAATAAGAGGTATTTTTTTATTGAAAATAAAGTGCAGTGAAAAGAAATGTTTTTGAGGCGAGTATTTATCGAAGAGTCCTCTTTTGGAGTCGCTTGCAGGTATATGTATCTTGTCCCTGGCGCCAATCTGCCGTAGCCCTTTTCCGGAACCATAATGTGTGTATTCTGCGTTGCACATTTTCGTCTGTTTCTTGTCGCTTGCAACTATTAGACCTTTCCGTCGTCAGTCCGGCACTTTTAACATGTACTATAAATTGGTTTCATACAGTTGTAATGATTATAGATTCGTATTCAGGAGAACGCTTGCTATTACCCCAAAAAAAATTGATTCTTAGAGTTCCACCCTGTATACAAAATGTACAATGAAGCAAATACAATTTGAGATGTCAAAATTTTATGTTGGTAGTTGACAGAAAGGTCTGGGCTGTACAGAAACTTTTTGAAGTCTTTTGTTTCATTGGTTGTTGCAATCAAGGCGAGTGGATGTCATATGTCTTGAATTTTTGCAGTTTTTAAAATATTTTACCATCCTTAAAAAATTCTGAAAAGAAAGTGTAGACTTAGTTTTTCCAGTAGTACCAAAAAATCTGTTAAAAAATATGTAAATTTCACTATTAAATTTTGATTTTTTTAAGACTGGTGGTCAAATGGCGAGTAGCAGCGGTAGCGGGTGTGCGACAGGTACCAGCGATCCGACTAGCCCTCCTTCCGGTTCTGGGCCTGCTACTAAAGTTACCGATGGGTGGGATAATGAAGAGTGGGGTAGTTTAGAAGAAGAACCAGTAAGTTATAAATATATAAATAAAAATCTTGCTTTGCTTATTTAAATAAATGATCCCTGTACTAGATTCTTAAAACATGCATATTGAAATCGGAGGATATGTTTATAACATCGTCAGTTCCTGACAGAGTAACCAAAGTACGATATGGGTCGGTTTAAGAGAGGCAAGTGCGGTTTTGTGTTCATAAGAGAGGTGCAAGTACAAGATATCAAAGACTTTATGTATTGTATTTGTTGTAAGGACATTTTTCGCCTAATATAACTAATTTTAGACATGTAATGTAATTCGAATACCTCTCAAATTTTAAATAAATCTGTTATAGTAATTTTTTTTGTATAAAAAATGTATTCATAAACGGATCAGAGCGTTTAAAGATTTATGTTTATGAAAAGATATATATTATTTTACACGGCAGACCAATTTTGACACTTGAGGGGTTTCTTGTATTTCTCGAGGAGATATTCAAAAGAATTGAGATGTTCTGGGCTTGTATGACCTTTTTTGTGAAATTTTACTAAATGAAATGAATCAGTACCATCATCGATTAATGATACGCTGCCCTTACTTCTCTATCTTATTTATACTCTAAATTGTTGAGGTTTAGGGATAGTCTAGGAATTGAACGTGTTATAAGGAAAATATTGTGGATGCCACTAGGTTCTATGCAAAAAAAACTGCATAAAACTTGTCATAAATAAAAAATTTCCACAAATGAAAATGTTACCGTCAGTAATTATTTACTTGTGGCATTTCTTTTGTTACTTTTTTTTACTTAATTGGATATTTCTTTAAATTTTTTCTTTTTATTGTCGCTGAAATGTCCTGTTAAATGAAAAAAATTGTAAAAAAGTTATTCGACAACACAAAATTATTGAAATTGGCCTACTTTCTACATAAATTTTCTAATTTGTTGGCGGATCTAATAGATATATCTAAGCCTTTTTGAAGTCTGCTTTTCTTCATTATTTCCCAAACTTCTTCTTTAGGAAGCCGAGGCTGAGCTGACATCTCCTTCAGAGGCGTGGAGCCCTAGCGATACCGCTCCTATATTACCAAATCACCAAAAAAATTCAGCAGGTTTGATCCAGCCCCAAACCGGCAGATCTCCCCAACACGCCTGGGAGGAATCCGAATTTGAACCTATTGAAGAAAATTCCGGGTCTAGCAATGCTAAGTTGGAAGAGGCGAGGAAAAAACGGGAAGAGCGGAAATTGATGCGCCAAAAGGAACTCGAGGCTAGAAGGGCTAGTCGAACCGTAGGAGGTCCCATGAAATTAGGAGCCAAAAAGTTATAATTAAGTGATAATGGAGGGTATATTACGTCTAAGTAATAAGTAAAAGAGAAGTTTCTCTTTAGGTTTTCTAATTGTCTTCAATTAACCCGACGTCAACTAAAAATGTACACCAAATGTGTTGAAGGATGTTTCATTAAACGGTTTCAAAGTAAATGTCATGTACTCCTTTTATAAAAATATCGTGTAATATATGATTTACAGATTCTAATTATATTTATGTAAAATTTTTATCGAAGATCATTGAAATACCTTACTTTTATTGAAAATGTATAGCTTACCAATGGAAATCATTAAGGTTCTTTTAATATTAAGCATGGCCTAATTAAAATAATAACAGCCAATATTTTTTTTGACAGAATTGTGTTCAGTAGTAATTTTCTTTCTAATAAGAAAGGCAACATTTATTTACTACTATTACTAACATTTTTTCATTTTGAAAAATCAACTTTATATCTACCGTTTCCTAAGCAAAATGATTAATATATTTATTTAAATACATGACTTCTCGGCATTGACCAAAAATTAATCAAAACGGTATTTTTGCAGTAATAAAAAAATAATCACTTTCCCAGAAGATACTTAAAACTAAGCTCCATGTCGATATACAGTGTTGTTCGAAAGAAAGAAATAAGGTATAATGCAACAACCTGTCAAATATGAAGGAGCGGTTTTGTAATCCAAATTTAAAAATATTTCAATGCACTTGAAGCTTTCAAGATACAGGGTTTTAAAATTTGAAAAAAAAAGATGTTTCTAAATATATTTTGAATAAATGATATTGAAATGAAATTCTGTGTGCACAATTCTTGCATGAATGTCATTTAACGTGAAGAAAAGTCTCGAAACAGTGGTCCAAAAGAAATATTACAATTTTTTTTTTATATTTTATGTTTAACAAAAGTTTTTTCATAGCTTTTCCTGTTTTAGTACAATTTAACAATTTATAAAGTCAAATGTAAAATTATTTTCAAAATACAGGGTGTTCCTAAATAAGTGTCGCAAAGGAAAACTGTAAATTCCTCTTGAAAACAGAAACATGTTTTGCCTCTTCCATTTTTCTCTCCGGGCTTTCGTTTTCAAAATACACTGTGTCAAAACGCCATTTACGCCATTGGAAAAATTGACATTTAACAGCAAATTCTGAAGAGCCAATGAATTTTACACAAAAAGAGTTCTCTTAGTTCATTGCTCTAAAGTCAACCGTTTTCAAGAAAATGACTTTTTATGAACAAAAACAAACATTTTGCTAACGTTTCGAAAATATTTTGTAATTCACAAAATAGGTAGTAATAATTAACAATTTTAACGAAATTTAACAATAGATAGGATTTTAACTTTTTTTATCAATTTCGCGAGTAAAATTTACAAATATTGTACAAAATTAAGTTCGTGGACTTCAATGTACACATTACATCTTTGAATCATATTTCTTTCTGCTGCTGCGGCTTCACTCCTATCGGTCAACACTTTGATAATATTGACGTGGATTTCATAAACGATGCATTTTAGATGTTCCCATCCGGTGGTTGACTTTAGAGTGTAAAATTCATTGGCGCTTCAGAATTTGTCGTCAAATGTCAATTTTTCCAGTGGCGTAAAAGTTAGGGAGGAGAAACCCTTACGATACCTGTACAAAAGTTCAATCCTGCAGTTCAAACGGATATTGGCCAAAAGCTAAAAAAAAAAAAATTAAAGTGTACCTCGAAAATGAAAGCTCGGAGAGAAAAATGGAAGAGGAAAAAAGTGTTTCATTTTTCAAGAGGAATTTACAGTTTTTCATTGCAACGCTTATTTAGGAACCCTATATTTTCGATGTTTTCTCACATATCCTCTTACTCGTAAAGATTGTAATATTGAGATGATTATGCTAATACTTTTTTTCTTTGATTTTTAAGACCTTGGTTTAATACACAACGGCTTTAAGGACAACTGTTTATGTTAGAAATTATTCTAAAATTTAGATGAATAAAACAATCCATCATTTTGGGCAAGTTATCATGTAACACTGTATTTTGAAAATTTCCTGTAAAATATATTTATTGTGCCCAAACATAAATTTTGTTATTATATTTGGAAACAAATGTTTTGACAGTATTTAAAAAAAAGCAAATCCACATCACCAAGTCAGTGATAAATTTTTATATAATTTGTGATATTTTGAAGATGATCAGAATTGAGTTTATTTTTTTATTATTATTAGTTTTATTAAAAATCAGAGCCATAATTAAGTATAAAAATTTGACGTAAGTTTCTCCTGTTCAAAACAAAGCAGTTAACCGAATTTACCAAAATGATAAAAAAAGATAAAAAAATTTCGAGCTGTGGGTAGTTTCATTCATTCTAAAACTTTTGATTCAGTTTGTGGTGTTAATGATTATTACATTTTGTTTTACATTATATAAACTTTTCCCCTTTTCATTAACCTTCCGGGACTGGCGTGAAATTTTTGTGATCCGGCGATGGTGACGGACTGTGCGTCCACATACTAGATTTGAGGCAATTATAAAAAAGTTTGCAATTGTTTTTGTTTATTTATATATAGAAGCATAAAAAATAATTAAACAACATTAATTTTGCAATGTAAGAACATATAGGAACATATATTCTTGTCATTATTAGAAACTCAGCAGAAAAGTTAACATTCTTAAAACTAGCTACTAAAAACATACAATCAACGTAGGTATTTACTTAAATATGAATAGAATACATATAAACTTATCATAAAACTATATAAAACTATTCACTGTGACATTTCAAACATATAGGTGTCAAATGACCTACATTTTCCACGTTTTGCAAGAAAAACGCGTTGGTTGATTTTTTCTCCTGTCGCAGTAACTGCAGCGGTTGCATTTGGTGGACCAGGTGCAACAGCATTATCAATTTGAAGAATTTCTTTAATTCTTGATCTTATAGTTTGCGGTAGAGAAGTTAAAGTTGCACGAAAACGAATATGATTTTTAGTCAACTCGGAAGACAGCAGGTGCATAAATATTTGGCATGTCATATTTTTATCTACATTTTGTAGATTGTAAAAAACCATGGAATCGACTGCAGCTAAATTTAATATGGAATAAAAAATAACCATAGGCTACCTTCGTGTGTTTCTAGCACAATCATACTTATTTACCTTCAAAAACTTTTAAAACACAAATATTAATAGTGAGGTCAAAAATGGGATTGGGGACTGACGGCGGACTCCCACTCCGCAATATTTTATAACATAAAAACAAAAACACACCCACGCTTCAAGCTCTCATATAATACGACTAATTTGATTCTTGAAGAATACCGAAATGCTCTGATTCGAGAAGGGGGTGGTTAAGTGGTAAACGGCAAAAGAAAAGAGCTGTGGACTGACAGACCACACGCTAGCCCCGGAAGGTTAAGAAATACTATTCTGAAAAAGGTATTTATTCTATTACATCACATAACATTTCAATTTATTACCAGTTATCAAAGCCTACTTTTTTTTCATTGTCACATTTTACAAAATTCAGTTAACAAATTTTTTACCTATTTACCATCTCAATGGATAATTGCTAACACATCACACATCCTATTATTCACTTATAATTTTAATTCCAGTTTTATGGGAGGAATAACACAAACTTCAGTAATACTGCCATATTAAATGCAAATATATTTAAAAAAAATTAATGTTTAAATAAAGACTTGCCTTATATACAATTTGTTCTACGATTTTGTTACATTAGTAAGAGGTACTACTGCTGTTTATTTAGGGTTTTAATTTATATACATATTATATAGATCCGGCAGAAAATTTTTTTTGCCATATCTCTTTCCGATTGACAACATTTGGTATTAAACAGGATAGGACATTTTAAAATTGTTGTAAAAACTATATTGTTTACAGTATACATTTAATATTAATTAAAGCAGTTTTTATAAGATGAAATATTAAAAAATTGAAAGTTAATACGAGTATACTTAACAGCGACAGTTGTGAAAATTATATAGAACAAATTTTGATAATGAAATGTGGGACTCATACAATTTTTTAGAGTATGATTTATATTTAATGTATATAGGTGTAAGTATATTTGCAATCTAATTTTTTTTTCACGATCTATACAGGGTGTCCCGTTCATGTTTCAAAAAAACTTGTGTGCAAGTTCCTCATGGGAAAATAAATAGGGGTAGTTCATATAAATTTTGTTTCTTAGACGCCCTGTTTTCGAGATACAGTGTGTTGAAGTTGTTACTTTCCAAATGGTTTTCCTTAATTATCTTTAAATCGTCAAAATTTCTACACGAGTAAACATCAACTGTGCATTAAGAATAATGTGTAAACGGTTTCTTTCTGAAAAGCGGTGTCGCCGAACCATTTAGAAACCCCTCCAATTACCTGTATCGGCGACACTGCTTTTCAGAAAGAAACCATTTGCATATTTTTCTTAACACACAGTTCATGTTTACTCGTGTACAAATTTTGACATTTTTATCTTTAGCCGATTTAAAGATAATTAAGGAAAACCATTTGGAAAGTAACAACTTCAACACGCTCTGTCTCGAAAACAGGGCGTCTAAGAAAAAAACTTTACACAAACTACTCCTATTATTTTTCCATGAAGAACTTGCACACAAGTTTTTTTAACAAATATGAACGAGACACCCTGTAGATATGCTAGTTTTTTATTTTTTCCACAAAAAAACTATTTTTTCGTAAAGCTATAGCATTATGGATTTTGAAAAAAGAAGTGTTCATGCCAAAATGAACGAAGATTTTATTTTGTGAAATAAAAATGTCGCCTTACCTATCTATCAGTTGTTGGTTCCACGTTTCATTATCAAAATATAATCGGTTTAATTTTTAAGGGCTACCATTGATATTGAAGTATTTGCTTCCATTTTTAATGCTGTCACCTGTTGTGTCTTAGAATTGGCAAAATATTGATTATATTCTGGGAATAAAAGAATAGAAAACAAAAAAAGAACTAGAACATATCACAAAAGTATTTTAACTTATGTAAACATAACACCATTGTAGAAAAAATGTTGGTCATTACGTACATTATAATGTACTCAGTATTTTGCAATTTTCTAAATTTTCATATAACCAAAATATAGCTAATTAGTATGTAATATTTACCTTTCCATATTTAAAGAACAAAAAACTTTATATGACAGTATATTAATAATAAAATTAAACCAGTACCTATACGTATTGAAATAGATGCATGCATATGATTATACTTGCATTCAAACTTAATTTAGATCATTTTTCTAGGCCTTAACTTTATATATTTTTATAAAATGAACCTGTTATTCTTAGCTTTTCATTTTTATTTAAATGAGAGATATTAAAACTTTTTACATTTATATTATGTATCAGCATTGGCTGCTAAATATGTAGTTATAAATTTGTATATACGTATAATATAGAGGCACAACTTATAAATAAATTAAAAAATGCTTTAATTTATGTACAGGGAGGGATGTTATTATATTGGAAATCCTTTGGCTCAATGATATTATATTCCTTTTAACGCTGCTGATACAACATGTTGAATTCAACTATTATCAATTTTATTGCCGTTTAGAATAAAAATAATCAGCGTCGTAGTTAGGGGCTGGCCGCGGGGTCGGCTGCCAGGGGCGCAAATCTCAAAGGGGTGCACTCGTGATTGTACTGTTTCTCTTCCTACAAACTAAGTGTTGGAGGCGCAAAAATTCAAATCTTCCCTGGGCACTCTTGTCCTTAGCTACGACATTGAAAATAATATGCAAGGAATACATATTAAAGGTCTGTTCCAACATGAGTCAGGAATTAGTTCCGAATCATTCGAAATGTGCATTCTTGCGATATATTCAGTGAAGACACATTTAGAACTTAGCTGGCCAAACACTCCGATCGGTTCGGAACCAATCCCTGACTCATGTTGGAACAGACCATAATTAATGTTCACTTTATTTTCTGTGTACTACATATATTTTTATTCTGTAATATACATACATATAATTTTTCTGTTTAAATAAGTTAATTTTTTTAGATGCATTATTCATTTTTGTATATTCTCTGTAAAAATTATTAAAACATCTATTAAATACATTTTTTTATTATGAACGAAGTTTTCTTATTTATCCGATCCTATTGGCAAAAACATATAAACAAATTTGAATCTTCCGCCTTTTTACTATTTACTTTTTCAGTTCGAATTTCCTCCGTGTAGGGCATGAAGACTGACATTTTTAATGTTTAGTGTACGTCAACATCAAAAACCTTAGAAAAATGTGACAAGGAAGCAAATATAATTAATTATTTCCATTCAAAAAATGATCTAGAAAATTGTCTCTCTGTTACTATGTAAAAATAATGTAACAACCTGAAATCGTGTAAAAAATGTTTACGAAACGCAACCTGGTTGATATTAAAAAATCAACTTCAAAAGTACAAGACCCAAAAAAAGATGTGGCTACAAGATTAAAACATTTAAAAATCATATTAGGTAAATATTAATATTAGTGTGTTTACTTATACATATCAAAAAAAAAATCTCCAAACATAAACATGTGAATGTTCGAATATCTGATTTCTCTATTTTAGATAATGTTGACATAGCAGAAGCAAAAGGCTTCTTCGAAGCAAATTTTAGTCATGTATATCATATATTGTATGAAAGTTTTGTTCAGACAGAAGCAAATTTACGTCAAAGAGGTAAGTTAACATTATCGCTCTACTGGATCTATTTTGCTTTTTGTAAAAAGCTTTAACGTAGATACTTGTAATCATATAATTGTGACTGAAACTTTTATCAGATTAATTTACTTATCTATCATACATATTACTAATAAACATGGTGAAATCGTTACTAAAACTGTAGAATAGTTACTTCTTTTGTTTTTAACATAAATGACTCATACAGACGTAAATAAAAATTATTTCCATTACCAAGTGTAATTAAATACATTTTAGATATTTTCAGATATGTAAAAGATGTATTAAATGTATCTATTTGTATGTATGACTTCAAGCAAAATGCTAAATGCTATTTAATGCAATTTTTTCTAACATCTTTAGCCTACATATTTTTATCACCCATTTTTGGCTATCTCAAAAAGCAACAATTGTCATGTATCTTCTAATTGGTTGTTAACTTTGCTTTTTGTAAATATTAATAGTCACAATTTTTTTTCATTACCGTAACTAGATTTTAAAATGATACTCAGTTAAATGATGCCAATTATATATTAGAATGCATTAGGAACATCAAAGTGAAGATTCAATTAAATTCTCAATATTCTGTAAAAGGTTGCTAAGGTACAAAAGTGGAACAGAATAGATTAGAAATTGTGTTTATATTATTATTTAGCTTGTACTAACATTATGTTCTCTTGTATATATTCCATATTAATTGTAATATATCTGTTTTTCTGTGGTGTCAGAGCTGTCCTTTCATTTAGGTAAGTTTGCATTTACCCTTTCTGTTCAAAGCCTTGAAAAAATCAAATTGCAGTTCATAAGGCGCATAAAGAAGAGCTGGAATGCACCCTCTGGATCCTAGATCAAGTTCTGAGCCTTTTACCAGAATTAATACATAGAAGATGGCAGATACATTCCTTGGGAAGGCTTTTAGCGAAACTGCTGCATCCCGGAAACGCTATAAAACTAAGACGCCAGGGCATACGGTATTTCCTTATGTGGTACCAGGCTTTAAACGAGAATGCGCCTGATCACGTTCACAATATGTTTGCAGCTTTAGTTCCGGGATTCTGCAACCAGATCATTGTGCCGGCCCAGAACAGTGGCAGTGTCTTTCACGATACGAGTGCTCAAAATCCTATTACCCCATGTGAGATTCTACCTATTTTGCCCCCTTCGAGTGGGGAAAAACCGCCGGAGCACGCGAGTAAATTCTATCTAGAAGCTCTCTTGGAGAATATAGTTCATACCGTCATTAAATTAGAGTGGCAAGATAAGGCTTCTTACCATCATCGGTGCTTCAATTTCCTTTTGGAAAAATTTAAGATTTATTATCTGCCTAAGATTTGCCCCAGTTTCTGTAACGAAACGTCCGTTTATAGACCTAATTTAGGTACGTATACTATTATGCTGCCCTCGGTAAGGTATATAAGGATGTATTTTTAGATCTGCCAGTTCTAAGAAGGCTAGAAAGTGAAAATGAGTTTGTTCACTGCCGAGTCACATTGATAATGTGGCTAACGAATTACATGCACCAGGCCAAGAAAAATCTAGAAGGCGGTCCATCCTCCATTCCCAGTATTCAGTCGCCTTCCCAGCAGTCACAGTTTATGCACGAGGATGAAGCGCAGAACGATTCCTCACATCCTAGTTTAGATTCCAGTAAGTAGAAATTATCTTTGTATGTTCAAATTTGTGGAACCAGTTGATGCAATCAGGATCTTAAAAATTATAATTAGATTTTAACAAAGTGTAGTGGGTAGAACATTCCTCAATGTTTGTTTGTCCTTGATGAATATAATTCAAAACACCCATTTATATGTTAATTAGTAAAACTAAAATTAACAAAATAACAGATTTGTTGGATTTATGTAAAAATCGATTCACTTTGATGAACGCATTGTTGTGTTCTGTTCAGTATGTCTGTTAAATTCAGAAACATAAATATTTTTTACATTACAAACTATGAAAATGCATCTTTGTCACTGATTCGCATATCACTATTAATTATCACTATTCACAAAATATTTTGATTTTTATTATTATTAAGGAGGTTTATCTGATATGGAATTGATAAACAAATATAATAAAATTAATATAAGCTTATTAATATGAAGAAAATCCTCAAAAAAATTTATAACTAGTTTGGATACCTAAGAGACGAGATATTAATAAAATAATTTTTCACAATTTAGAACAGTCTTATGAGAATGCAGATTTTTTTGGTCTTTCCACTTAGAATGCACAACAATTGACGAACGGTTTCCACAGCAACTTGTATAAATAGGACACCGATATCTAAGGAACCGTATGACAGCTCGTAGAAATCAATTAGGTACATAATTTCTAATAATTCTCCTTCAAACTAGTGTCGTTGACTAACCTAACATCCATTATGCGTGATAGCGGCAACGCCGCTGTTCTGGACGTAGCGTATTATTTGGAATTTGTAGGTGTGACATATGATGTATATTTCAGGCTTAGGCATCCAAACAAACAGAATAATCGAACGCGAGCGAGCAAACGCCGAGCCGAGAGCACCAGCCAAGTGCAACGTTGCCAAATCTAAAGGCTTACTACTTTGGTCACTAGCAAATCTACAGAAACTCTCATTTGACTTTAGACGTACCCGATAAACCTCCTTAAGTAGGGCTCTTTTCTTTTTAAAAATATGTAGTTTATTATCAGCTTTCCTATTTTTACTTATTATTCTTAGAAATACGTTTCCAGCTTAAAATTTGTCAATAAGATATTTGCATTGGTATAACAATAACAATTGCAATTAAATCCAGTGAGTTGTAGATTTGTACTAAAGCGACAAGCCGCTACTATTTGTCATTGTTGACACTACTGACTTAGTGAATAGAATTGCTGTTAATGAAAATTACTAATTTTAAAACATCCAGTAATGATATTTTTATTCCCCCACTTTATTTTGAAAAGTGAAACGTGATCAACAAACAAAATAATTGTAATGGTTAGTAAAGTACGGTGAAATCTCACTTAATAGACATTCATCCTCGTAGATAGACACCTCTTGTAAAGGGACAGTTTTGCTAAGTTCTGGCAACTTTCCATAAGTACTGCACTGTTGCAACCACACTCCTTTGAATGAACTCTCATTTGAGCAGATGTGCATATTGATTTTTTAACATTTTTTCCTAATGAAGACAAAAGGTAATAAGAAGGAACACCTGCAAATTTTTGCCGTCAATAACAGAATTGCATATTTTGGATACTGGAAAATCAGACTGATTTTCATTTCCCATTTCTTTAATTCGCTTACCTCTTTATCTTGTGTACAATATTTGTTAGTGTGAGAAAGTAAATGAATGAATTCTTTATTCTTTAAGGGTTTTAATGAATTTAATAAACTCCCTCTAGAGGTAAGAAATGTGGAGCCCTTGAATTCCTTTAAGTGTAGACTAAGAAATTATTAACTGATTATTGATGGCTTTTATATATATATATTTGTAAGTTATGGGTATAATGTAGTTAATGTGTTTTAGGCTTAGTCAGATACATGTATATTGAATGGTGTATTAGGGTCAACCTATTTCAATAAACAGATGTATTAATAAATAATAAATTAATAATAAAATAACTCCCTTGTTACTCATAATACAGAAAAAAAGTATATATAAAAGTTATACAGAATCAGGAAACCTAAACTACAAAATTAATTTGATACATACAGGGCCATGAATAAACACGGGACACACCAAATATAACATTTTTTAAGTGGAACACCCTATATATTTTTAAACATTATGCATTTCCGAGAAAATTCTTTATATGGCAATATAAACAGTTTATCATTTTAGTGCGGGGTTGCCAAGTTATGTAGAAAATTCATCGAATTTTGGAAAAAACATGACCTCGAAGAAGTTGTATTAACTTTCAGCTACTAACACTTGGAACAAAATAATTAGACAGGGTTATAGGCAAATATTAGACAAAGACTCCTATATTAGCTAATATCGATATTTTATACAGGGGGCAATTTTTATAATACAATAATTATTAGAAAGTTTAAACTTGATTTTCTAAAATTTTTCAAATGGAACAGCCTGTATTTTATTGTTCTATTTTATTCATATATCGGTCCACTTCAACTTTTATGTTCTACATCTAAAATTGTTAGTTTTTAAGATATAGCAACATTTCTGAAAAAACTTATTTAAAATTTTTATTATTTTATGGAATACCACAAATAAATATTAACTAATAAAATTAACTCAAAATGGAATGATATATTATGAACTGACAAGTTGACACAATGTGACAGTTTTTTCCAAAGTCATTTCGTGCGACCGAAAATAATAAAAATTAGGTTTTTCCAGAAAATGTTGCTATATCTTAAAAACTAATAACTTTAGGTGTAGAACATACTTACTTAATAAAAGTTGAAGTGGACTGATATGTGAATAAAATATAACAATAAAGTACAGGGTGTCCCATTTGAAAAATTTTAGACAATCAAGTTTGAACTTTCTTAAAATGATCGTATTATAAAAAATGCCCTGTATAAAATATCGATATTAGCTAATATAGCTCCAAGTGTTAGTAGTTGAAAGTTAATACAACTTCTTCGAGATCACGTTTTTTCCAAAATTCAAAGAATTTTTTACATAACTTGGTAACCCTGCACTAAAATGATAAACTGTTATATTGTTATATATAGAATTTTCTCAGAAAGAAATCCATATGTTTAAAAATATACAGGGTGTTCCATTTAAATAATGTAATATTTGGGGTGTCCTTTAGGTTTTTTGATTCTGTAAAACTTTTTTCTGTATTATGAATAACAAGGGAGTTATTTTACTTTCTCACGCCAGTTTTTGGAAAAAATATTGTTATCCAACTTTCCACTAAAAGAATACTTCTAAATCCAAGTGATTTACTTGCAGCAATATCTCTCCAAACGAACAAGACAACTAGCGACGAAGAACTAGCCATCCAAGTGGTTCGAGACGTTCTCTGTAGCACCAGAGATAATGTCAATTTTATCCACGAGTTGTATCGGCAAACTTTTCTTCTTAATTTCTCGCATGTGGCAGCAATCAGAAAAATAATCATCGTCTATAAAGATCTGATTCAAGGTAATGTTGTGGAATTGCCGCCTTATGCTCTAGAATTGCCCGAGGATGTTCCGAGGAATAGCGAAGAGTTGACGCCAGAGACTGGCAGACCTGGACGGTTGAGAAACGACTCTTATCTGGGCGCTATTCATAAAGAAAATCTGTTAGTGAGGGCCGGCATGCAGGTAAATCACATGCACAATTTTTTGTGTTGTGTTTTATAATAATTGAGTATTGTCTTTTATGAAAATGGACATTTCTTATGACATATCCAAGATGTATTATGCTAAGCTAAAACATGTTTTGTTTCAGAACGTATACCAACTGTTCATGACACACGCTGCCAACGTTTTCCTGTTAGAAATAAACTCGCATATCCCTCGGATGCTTGAAGAACAAACTGACACTTGTAAAAGAGTCTTGAACATTTATAGGTACATGGTAATGAATACAAGAATGGACAATGCCACTTGGTAAGCATAAACGTGAATCTTACCTTCATCGGATACTTTACAACTAATATCTCTGTTCAGGGAGCAGTTACTTCTGGTATTGTTGCAAATAACGTCGTTAGTACTTGGCGAGAGTCCGCCGAAAAAGAAAGTCACCACCTTGGGCGGAAAGTTAGCTCCCGCCATATTCCAGACATTGATAGTAACGTGGATTAAAGCGAACTTAAATGTAATGATTTCACGGGAGTTATGGGACAGGTTCTTACACGTTCTGACATCTCTTACCACATGGGAGGAATTGATAAAGGAATGGGCGGTAAGTTACTTTATTTTTCCTGTGAATATGATTTAACTATTTAAATTGTTGCAGAAAACGTTGGAGACTCTTACCAGAGTTTTGGCTCGCCATGTCTATAATTTAGACCTCACAGACCTGCCGTTGGATCGTCTGAACGAGCACAAATCGAAGAGAGGTCGCAGAGGTCCGAGGCTAGAAAACAACACTCCGTCTAACACCAACGACGCAGGTCATCCAGCCGTGTGTCGTCAGGATTCCAGTTTACCTGACGGTCATATTTCTTCAAAGAGGGGTAGATCGAGTCTACCGAGAAGTTATAGTGAAACTAACTTGACCCTAAAGCGCAGGTCTACATTTGTGAGGCATCAAAATGTAAGTTATTTCCTCTGAAAAACAACATATCATTTTTTTCTGCATTCGTATGCAGGGCATAACTTTAAATGAGTGTTATTTATATCAAGGCTACCTTTGATCTTTAGAAACAAATGTCAATAAGTTTGTTTTCTCAATTTCCATCATATAAACTGTATTTTTAACAATTTTTTTTTCATAATTTTCATTCATGCACATGCACAACCGCATACCCACTTGAGAGCTATTCATTTTTATCAAATCCCATCTTTTTCAATTCCTACACATGTTTTTTCACAGTATTACGCAGACATTTAACAATGAAGGCACACAAACACAACAAACTGTCACTACATTCACGCTGACATTAATTATAAAGTTATACACTTACACGACACAAGACATTTCATTAAATACCGCTTTCAAATTTTACTACAAAATTTAATATTTAAAATAGAGCACTGTACTATACAAATTATATTTCGATTCCAGTAAAACTAATACTTCACGTAGAAAGTTGTGAAATTACCTAACACATTGCATATATACCGATAAACCAATAAATTGAAAATGAAATAAATGTAAGAAAATGTAGCGGACATATTTGTCCATTCTCATTTCACTGAATTAACATTGGCCTTTTAGTTTTTGGCCTCCCAGTGCGCTGTTGTCATATCACATCAGGTGGATTGATATTTTTGTAGTTCACCTAAACTAAGTCATTGATACTGAGATTCGTAAAGGAAAAGCACAAAAAATCCTAAATACTTCATGTTAAACACTTGAAGTGTTAAAAAATTTGAAATCCATCAGATTAGTAAGTATTTTTATATATTATTTTTTTTTTTTTGACCGCTGTCTAAAATACAATTTATTTATTTATTTATTTATTTATAACTTTTATCGAGTTTATAACTCGATTATTTATTTTATATAAAAAATGTAATTATTTCAGTACCCTTAAAAAACTGACACCCATTTGAAATACAATACAGATACTTTTACATATGAACAAAATCCTATTTACCAAAGTTTTGCGGTTTATTATTGTGACCAAATGTTAAACACATTGCAGCAGTGAATTCAAGGGACTGCTGCTTCAACTCATAATTTATTTTATTTATAAAATAGTTATTCCTGTTTATCACTTATTTATTTTTATAAGTTATAATTGGTATGTTGAGGGTTGTGTACTCGACTTCAATCGTGGAAACCTGCCAATAAGAAAAGGACAAACAACTCGCATGGCGGTTATTTATATCTTTAAATTTATAAATCGGCGTCAATATAAAAACTTTCAATTGGCATGATATGCTTTTTTAAACGCATGTTAATATGCACTCCCACAGAAAATACAGCCTAAGACTAGATGTCTTCATGAGAGTAAGTTTTTAAAAGTTGGTTTTTGTGTTGTGATTTCAAATTCTGCCCTTTTACTAAAAAAAAAAATAAAAAAAACGCAATTGAGATTTATTTTAAAGTTACGATGTTAAAAAAATAGGAAATATGGAATATTTATCTAACGCAGATTAATTTATTGCTTTTTATCAATGAAATTGGTATAAAAATCTGCAAAACTTTTTTATTAATCTTTGAAATTGTTGAAAATTGACATATTTCTGTAGAAAATACCTTAAATATTTAGTACACTTTTATATATTGTACCAAGTGTCCCAAACACAGTACTTGTATTGATTTTGTTCTGAAATGCAATTCTCCTAATATTTCACGTACATATACAACAAACTCTTGGGATCAAAATGTGGTGATTTAATTAATCTTTAATGTCACCAAATGATATTAAAATCGGCAAAAAAATTTTTTGATATAGATTTTTAGCACATAGATAAAAGCCGTTTTAAGGTTTTTTTCTCTTACATATGTATTTTTTTATATTTGTAAAAGTTTTTCCGTAGTTAATTATTTTAAAGTCATCATTAAAATATTTTTAAGACAGGTATAATTCAGTTGTCATCAACAATTTAATTTGTATCGTAATACAAACACAATAATGTTTTCAGTAGTTCAGACACTAGTAATCGAATGTGTTTTTTCATGGAAATTATTGGAAACAGTCGCTATTTTTGCAATAAGACATAATTTATCATATGAGAAAAATCTGAAATAAATATTTTTTGGGTTGCAGATGGTATTCCAGTAAAATAATTTTTGTGACAGAATTTTGATTACAAGTTTCTGAATTTCAAAGCATTATTTTATTTTTATTAAATAAATAAAATTTTTGATAATAAATTAGATTTGTATGGAAAATACTGGAAAACCGGAAATTATCAGGGAATTTCACAGATCTGAAAATATCAGGGAATTTCTCTAATTTTCCTAAAATTTTTTAAATTCCAATCGTAACAGGTCTTTATTTACAAGGTCCTGCCACTGGATCATTCTATAATTCTAGAAAAAAGAATTATCAAATAATTTCTTTTTGGTTGCATATCAAATTATAGATCAGGGCGGATCTGTTTTGAGGTGGATGTGACAGGGGGCACGCAAATTTTTTCTGGATTACCTTCAGTACTACTCACATAATAAAAGTGTAGATTCCTAGATCTGGGCGAGGTCTGGAACATTTTCAAAATTGCAAAAATGTTTAAAAAAATTTTAAAAATACCTATTTGAGTTTTTTACTTATATTTTGCATTTTAGAAGAATATTGAAGAGGAGAAAAAGTTTTAGAATTTAATTTTGCACATTATACTGTAAGTTAAAAATGTTTAAATTTATTACCGATGTTGCAAAATAGCAATAATTGATGAGAAAAAAGGCAAAATCAAGTTTTTTGGAAAATTTTTTAAAAATATTTTAATTGCTCCGAGGACATTCTAATTATGGTAAAAAAAACTATAGAGTATAATAAAACAACACACCAAATTTCATTAAAATCGGTTCTATAGTTTTCACAAAATAATTTTTTGAAAAAAAATTTGAAAATAAATTTTTAAATTTTCAAAATGTTGCACAGCCTCAAATAAAGCATCTAGATACTTGAAAATTTTTTCACATAAAAAAGATCACTCAACTTTTCAAATGGTTTTTGAAAAATTGAAATCGGTTGATTAGGACGGCCACAGTAAAGTTTTAAAGTTAACACTCTTTTTTTTTATATTTGAACAATCAGATTACATTTATCAATTTGCAATTTAGTTTTTTTCAAAAATTATAATTAATGTAATAATTTTTGCCAATTTTGGCTCGTAGTAGTTAATATAACAACCTTTAGACAAATTTAGAATTTAGAACCTGAGGTATATACGATTTTTTATTTTTTCAAAAGTGGCATCATATTTAATAAATAATGTGCATCTTTTCAGTCTAAATATAGAAGATCAAGGTCACTCGACACCCTCGCCCCGCCTGACACCGAATCTGCAGACCGCACCCGTTCTCCTAGTCCGGCTCCGTCCAGCGGTCTCGAAAGCAATTCCATAAAAGATTCGCCCATACAACTGGACATGCTCTCTTCCGAAACTCACACCCTGGAGCTGTCTGGCGAAAACAGAGGTGTAGTATGCGGCGGGGCCATAAGGGGTTGGCTTCCAGACGTCGCCGTTATACTTTGGAGAAGGATGCTCGGCGCTTTAGGCGACGTCAATCACGTAACCGATCCCAAACTGCACGCCCAGGTGTTCGAGTACTTGATTAAATTGACGGACACGTTGATCAAGATCAAGCAAAACCAGGGTGTGTCGCCTGATAACATGAGCACCCCTCAGGCCCCCGAATTGGTTCCGCCTTTGACTTTAATTTTGCCTTGGTGTTTTGGGGCGTTAATGCTGCCAAGTAATTTCGAGGCGGGACAGTTGAACGCCATGAGGCTACTGTGTACTATAACTTTGAACTGCGATTTGAAACATAGGACGTATTTGTCGCAGTTTTATCGGTTTTTACATTCAGGTAAGTAGATATACAGGTACGGAAAGTCCCCATGGTTCATCGGCCGTTAAGTGAGAGCGATAAAGTAAGTCATAGAAATCCGTGCGATAGAGAAGGATGGCTATAATGAAGGCGTTTCATAGTCACCGCCCGTTTCCCCTTCCACAAATAAGATCCACTTCCACTTATAATTCAGCGACCGGTGGTCATCTTTGTTTTCGTCGTTTGGCTTTTCTTTAATAGATGTCACTACTTATACAATTCCCACTTCGTATTCCGATATGTTAATCCATCCTTCTCTATCGCACGGTTTTCTATGACTTACTTTATCGCTCTCACGTAACGACCGATGAACCATGGGGTCTTTCCGAACCTGTATGTGTACACAGAGTGTTTGCAAGTATGAGCAAAAATGATACTAATCTAGTTGCATAACACTTATTTTTTTCAAATAATATTTTAACGTGACAAGTTTGGTCGCGTCTTTCAGATTACAGGGGTATTAACCATTTATTTTGAAATTATAAAAAAGTGAGGTCAATTTGGATGAATTTGTATTGGGATAAATGAAGTCACGTTGAACACGAAATTTTCTAACAGTATTAAAATGAAACTTGACTGGCGGCATTACATTTAAAAAAATGAGTAAAAATTCCATTTTTCATTTCGTAGCATTGACGGGCACCTCGAAACCATTTCTCAACACTTGTCTAAAGTACCTCGGTCCTCGATTTTTGTCGTTACAACTGCCCGGTTCCACACTACTCCTGTTGGACCTAGTACATGCCTGCAACACTGTACTTAACAGTACCGAGAAACTAGAAGCGAGCCCTAGGACAGAGGCTGTTTCGATTTTGGCGAACCTGCTCAGCCTGCCCGATGACCTTAGTTCGTTTTCGGTACTCCAGCCCGAACAGGACATACACATGATGGCGTGTCCTGATATTAAGGTAGGTTTACGTGCATTTTTGGAGTAGATCAAAACGTAGCGTTGTCTGTTTTTAGGAACATGTGGTCAGTATATTGTTAAGGACAGGAAGGCGTGAGCCCAAGGGTAAAGCAAGGTGCATAGCACTTTCCGCTTTAGGTATCTTTGTGTACAAGGAATTGAATAATCAGACGTTCCATCCAAAAGTTGCGGACGCTATCAACGTGTTATTACTGGCATTAAAGGTAAATAAAAAAGCCTTTATTTCATTACAGTTTATACACTAGTTTCTATAAGTAATGGATATTCAGAGTGTTAAAAGTTTGACTGCCATTTAATGCGAGGTACTAAGCTGTCCAGCAATACGCAATTCAGTTGGTATCTGGAATTGGACCGTGTCTGAGTATTTATTGCATACCACTATTTCCTTTTCTTGAGGTGTTTTCCAGTAAATGCACGAAAATTGGATTCGAAGGTGTCATGCTTGCATTGAAAATGGTGATGGAGATTTTGAGCATATGTTGTAGTTTGTTTTGTACTTGTGCGTTTAAAAATTACTGAATTTTGCTGTTTGGTAAGTACCTAAATTACTTTTCAAATTCATCATTTGTTTAAAAGTTAATTCCTGTTGTAAGAGGTTCATAATTACTAAAATTTGAGCTAAAATTGAAGCAAAATACTATTTTCATACTACAAAATCGATACATTTTATTTTATTTATTTAAAAACTGGGGAATAATTGTCTTGAAATTTACTAAATGTTTCACAATAATAGTTGTTTACATTTCTTCCGTAGGACAAGTCTGTCGCATGCACCCGTGGTATGCATCAGCTGTGTAGCGTTAGGTTAAACGTTATTGTCACATTTTTTGTTCATTTATGGCAGTCAAACTTCTTACACCCTGTATTAATTTTCCAAGGCAGTGGCATGAAAATTTTGAAATAGGACAACTTCTGATTTTGAAATGCATTGACTTGTGAAATAATCTTTCTTCGCACATTAAATTCCAAAATTCTTAGCAGAGAAAGGTTACATGAGATTTTAAAGAAATTTTGACTTGGAACTTATTTTTCAAGGCTAACACCATTTATGATAAACCATATGATTGAATACTTAACATAAAAAAAGTACGAATATATTGAGATCAGCTGAAATCTAGAAGGAATAACGTGATTCTCACATGACACATTTCAGTAAGTGTTTGGTATTGTCACCTGGGATTGTAACTGATCTGTATCATATGCTCTTTGAATGGATATTACAAATACAATAGAATCTCCGGGCCGGCTGGGACCGGACCGTTGCTGGATAATTGAAAACATGATTATTCGAAATAACGTCCAAACTCACCAATTTTGCAAAAAATATTAACTTTATTACACATACCTATTAGGTAAATAATATGTATGTGATAAACAAGCAGGGACTCATCTTTTTTTTTGTCTCTGAGCACTTTTTTGCCCCACCACGGAAAATCCGTGCACAGATAGCGGATAATCATAAACATTGCAGTGCATGAAGAATCCGTCACACGGATAATTGGGATTCTAGTGTATTAAGCACTTAGTACATATTGAGATGGAAAATGATATTTATACCGCATTTTGTCTACATTCACTGTAGACCCATAGCTTATCCACCAATTGGCGATGATAATATTTAAGTAATTTAATCATTAATCGCTAAAACTGAAACAACACAAGATACTTTTAGACTTGCGATGCTTAAGAAATAGCGAAGTTTAATACATTCAGATATATTTTTTTCTACCATTTATAGGCAACTTTACCTAAGATACATTTTTAATAATTGCTTTATCAGGACTTACCTGTCGTTAAAAATAAAATTTCCAAGATATACATATACGACATACGTTATAATCTATATTTTATTGTTTGAACTTTCTTACTTTCTTAATTTTCAGTTCAACAACAAGGTTATAGCGCAACTCGCCAGCAATATATTGTTCCTTCTGTGCGACCACGCTCCACTACTGTGGACTCAGTACCCACGACTGGGGAATTCGGTTATAAATACTTTGTGTTCAGCGCTTTTTCTGCATGCGCCTCTCGGTTCTATCGCTGGAGAAAGTGACAAAGCTTTAGGTACGGCCTTACTACTGTGTCTGGGAGAATGGTGCATGAAGCTGGGACCAATGAGGCTTTTGGAGGTATCCGAGTATGGGGAGAACAGAGGAATATGTTTACTATCCCAAGTTTTCGGTGTAAGTATTTTTTTTTATCTTCAAAACTCGCGATTTTAAATAAATCTAAATTGGTAATAACGGGTTTTGCAATCCAAATTCATCCTGTATGCTTGAAACAACCAATCATCTCTCGCCATTTATCTTTTTCTTTTTGGGCCAATCATAATGGAACAAATAGTGAAAGATGATTGGTTACTAAATCGAATAAACCTGTTTTAGCAGTGGTTTGTCAGCGGCCAACTGTTTTGTCAGTGAATAAAAATAAACATCACAAACAATTACAAAATTGAATTATAAAACACGTTAAATAAATATGAATGACAATAACGATTCTCATCAAATATTTATTATTATAAAAATACAGGATAAATTAGCTTTAATTTTAATATAATCAGGAAGAACCTAGTTTTTTCCTCCATTCATAGTACCTTTTACAGTCGTAATTAGTTGTGCAGGGTTTAATATTTTCTAATGCTGTTTGCATGTCCTTATAAGTGATTTTCCGTAAAATTTTCCCGTTGCTTCCACCTTCATTCATGTGCTTTATGTTTTCCCTTACAATGCTCAGTGTAGCTTCTTTGCATAAAGTTTTAATGTCGGAACCGGAAAAACTGTCTGTTTTCTCCGCAAGGTACTGAAATTCTTCTTTTTGTAGTGAGTGTGGTTGTTTTATGTAGTGCATCAGTAGTTCCCTTCTATTTTCTTCAGATGGTAGTTCGACAAAAATTCTTTTCTCGAATCTTCTTAACATAGCGGCGTCTAAGCTCCAAGGAACGTTGGTACTACCCAATATGAATATATCGGCCTCTCCACTCATTATTCCGTCGATTTGTACCAGCAGTTCACTTTTAAATCTTCTTGAAGCTTCGTGTTGGGACTGGGACGACTCTGAAGCTAGTGCGTCTAACTCATCTATAAAAATCGTTGTTGGAGCGGACATTTTGGCTAGATCAAAGAGAACGTGTAACAATTTTTCCGATTCTCCCCTCCACTTGCTTATAAAGGCGCTACTAGTAACGTTAATAAACGTAGTGCGACCTTCTGATGCCAAAGCTTTGGCCAACATCGTTTTGCCTGTACCCGGTGGTCCGTATAACAATATTCCTTTCCAAGTTGGTAGATTCTTGAATAAATCTGGGTATATAACCGGATAAATCGTGGCTTCTTTTAATTTTTCTATTGTGTTAACTACTCCGATGCATTCATTCCAATTGATGCCTAGATTGCTTGGTATTATTTGCTTTATTATCTGTTCTGCCATTTCCTTCCATTCACTTGAATAACTTTCAAAGTTATACATAGACTTTTCCTTGAAATTGCATTCCAGTTTGGTATTTAGTGATCCGTTACCAAGTGGCGTGATTTGAAACAGAAAATTTTCGCTTTCCGATGCACTTAGACTTTTGCCAGTGTTTTCCGAGTGTCTCAACTTTGCGCTGCCTCTTCTCGTTTTGTTTTTATTATCGGTACACACATTCTCAGAGTCAGATACTTTTCGGACCAATTTAGGATATTTTTGGAACTTAGTGTAATAATAACTCTGATACTCTTGTAATATAATGTCTAAATCGATGTTTTCACAAACTTGATACTGATTGGTTAAGTCGGCTTCGTTTTGTAAAGTTTCTGCACTTTCAAGAAGTCTGTTCTCTGTTAAATAGCTTAAAATTAAGTATAAAATGTTTCGTTTTCTTTCTCTGGATTCCGTTTTTGTTTTGTCGTAAAGGTTGGGCAGGTTTTTAGCACTTCTTTTTGGAGTTATGGAGATTTCAGCCATGTTTCACTTTATTTTGCAAACATAAAAAATGTTTATGAAAATTTCAGAGATTGCATGCAAATAACATGTATTCTTAAATGTGATTTTGTTGACGTGATGTCATAATATCTAATTACTATGGCAACTAATTAAATCAATAGTTAGCCATACTTGCAGTCATACCACTTGTTGCATAATAGTTTGAAAATTTAACTGCTAACATGTAATTAAATACTTAATTCTTATTTATGGGACTATACAAGAATTTAAACCACAGAACTAATTTTATTTACTTATTGTGGTTGGTTAAAGAAAATTTAATTAAATTTACACTTTTTGCAATTAAAAATTAAACAAAATTAAAATTTGCTAGGTTCTGTACAAAATAATACAAGGAAAAGCCTCGCAAGAAAATCCAGGGGGATTAAGTCAGCCTAGTATTAACGACGACTTCGATCCAAATATCATTTCGGACGACTTGGAAAAATCGCCTGCGCAAAGTCCTTCCAAAAACAACCAGTGTCAACAGGCAATCACCTTGTGCGCTAAGACTGTATTGGCTCATCTAGTCACTCATTTAGGCCATTTTCCGATGGCCATCGGAGCCGCCAGACTTAGTTCGCTTGTCGTGGAACACGACGACGTCCCCAATCTTACATCTGACGATTTGTCAGCGAGCATATTTTCAGCTCCAAACATCCAGGTATTATCTTGTGTATGTGTGATAGAAACAATGTTCAATTTCTGAATTTTCAGCTGTTTATTCTCTCTAAGAATGTGATCGCGAGTTTAATCGAGCTCCCGACTTTAGATCTGCCGGGTGGTGGGGTGACAGCTGGTCTGTCAACTGCCGATAAACAAGTGAGGGTGTTGTTGAGAGATCTTTCCGGGAAATCTAGTTGGGATGCTTCGATTTTATATCGAACTCCAGAGAGCATAAAAGCGGGAGAACAGGATAACTATCTATCGGAGACTTTACCAAAGACTGCCTCTGTTAGTTCCATCCAACCCGAGAGTTTAATGGTGGGCTCACCTTTACATACACTTCCACAAAGGGCTATGAGACATAGGCCTCCTAACGTTTTACCTGAAATATCTAATGCTGCGCCTGATTTGGACCAACTGGATGATGTAAAAAAGTAGATTCGTAAAAAAAACATGTAGTACTTATATATTTTTTTTAGTTATTGCAATACCTGGGACATACGAGTCCCGAATGCCTAGAGAGCCTCAGTCGTAAGTTAAACGAACCAGCGGCGCCACCTATGTCCACTGAATTAGAGCAGGAAGCCATAGCCTCCGTGATTAGTCAAAGGAATGTCGAAGTGGAAGAAAATAGACTGGTACAACATTTGGATTCCATGTTGGGGCTGCCTATCACGAGACCGAGCAGTCGTGCTGAAGCTAAAAGCCCTTCATTTGAGCCTCCAAGCAGTCAGCAGTGTACGTATAATTATCAAGGAGAATTAAGGTAAATTATTTTATAAAGTTACATTTTAGCTTCCCTGGGAATCGTGGAACAAAACGCTTTTCAGCAGTGTCGTCTTTTGTTCTCTCAGTTGGGTCTGGCGGGGTGGGAACGGAGACATCAGTTGCATTTGTTGAACAAAACGGAACGTTTGCTTAGGGAGCTGAGGAACTTAGATAATCAGAGTTGCCGAGAAACTCACAAGGTTTTTTTCTTAATAATTCAATTGTTTCTACTACCAACACAAATCTAGGAAAAATCTAGACTGCATGAAGCTGCATAAAACCGACAATCTAAAACTCATGGTCAACAGGAAGGTTTAAAATTTTCCTCTCTTGCTGATCATTATAAAATGAGTATTTATGCACAATTTTTTGTCCAGCGGTTTAGAAGATCTAAGTAAGTTAGGAACAATATCTCTTCACTTTACCGGTTTTATAAGTTTACTTCCAGGTATAAGACAACTGACAATACATTCAAAATACTGAAAAAAAAAAACATATTTTTACCTTGTATGTTTATCTTACCTTCACTGAATTTTGCACGTGTGTTGAACATATAGAAAATCACGTATGGTACTATAAATATAATCACACCCCGCAGAATACTTTTAGGAAACTTTTAACACATGAATTAATCACAATTATTGAGTATCTTTACAAATTTGCCGAACAAAACACGAAAGGTACACTTTCTGATGTTTACATGTTCTCCGTGATGTTTCTATGCGAAAAATAAAAGGAAGTTGCTCTAGTTTAGAGTTAAGCTTCATCACTTCCTGTATGGATCTTTTTGTTCTATCATTGTCTTACTAAAAGTGTCATTTTTTGTCTATAAAACGATAGCCTTAATTCATAATTTCATCAACTATAGAAGCCCCGTCATAGTGAAGCAGAATTGAAAAATAACGTTCATAAATTAATATCTATAATGTCAGCACTAATATTCCACAGACCAGTTTCCTTTTAAAAATCGGACTGTATAGTCTTTTCGATATCAGTTAAAGAACCAAGAGGTTGACAGTATGTACCAGGTTCGGTCACTGACACAGCAACTCAACATTGAAATATTTCAAAAACTGTTCCAATATTTATTTAGCCATATCCATATACAGGTCTGGTTGAACTAAACGTAGAGGTGGTAGAAATGTATACGCCCAGTCGATGAATGCGAGCGCGGGCAAACGAAATACAAACATAGCTGCATTGGGCCACTGGGCACTAAATCTCAGCTGTTGACAAGTGGTTGACAAATTGCCCAGCAGTGCAGTGCAGCAATGCGCAATTTGGTGTGATTCAGATAATTTTAATTTATTATAGGCACCTTCTATTAATCATTGATATTATTACAACATGGCATTTTGGAGACCTTTTGAAACGAAACAAAACGAAATTTACCATCAATATAATAAAATTGTTTGAGGACATAAATAATTAAAATATGTTGTTGGCCAAATGAACATNTTGTCCAAACTCTCCACTGTGCCCTTTAGCTGTGCGACATCGACGATCTTTACCGTACTAGACGTCTTCTCGGCGATGCTGTGTATGTTCATTATGACTGGCTGTGCGACCAGACTAATTTTCTTAAACGGAGACGGTCCGTCTTCCTTGGCTTTGTCGTTTAAGTTTACCAGGGGGCTGTCGTAATTCCCGATGATTTCCTCATCGTGCGACGGCATTTCCGACACTTCCGAGAAGCTTATAACGTTATCTTCTATCTCGATGACGTCGTCTTCCATATCCAACGGCTCCGATTTGATTTCTTCCAGTTGGAACAAGGGATCCGGTTGCTGGGTGTGCGGTTCTCTCACTATGGTGGATTCGGAGACACGTTCGTAATGGGTGTGGTAGTATTTTGGAATCTTTACGTTGGGCCTGGATCTGGTACCTTTCCTCGAGAGGAAAAGTGGAGGGGGCGACTACCGAAAAACGTGAGGTGTTACAACTGATATGTACAGAGATTTCCGCATAAGATACGACACAGAGAGGTAATTGTATTCGATTACGAGTCTCGGAACTTCAAAAAGCATTATAGTCCAAGCATTCTGTCACGGATTAATGTTAAATTTGCAGAAATTATTACCTGGACAAAAAAAATATGACCGTATACAAAATTAAATTTTAAATTGAGTTTCTTGTTCTTTAAACTCGATCCAAAATTGCTAACATCGTTTAAAAAAATCGCAAAGTTGCAAAAAACGGTTTTTCTAAAATAACTAAAAAAATATAGCTCCTATCGAAAAATTTTAAATGAGAAAGTTGTAGGTTTTAACCCTTTCACTGCTCCAGACGTATATATTCGCTAAAAATTTATAGGGCTCAAACTGCTCCAGACGGATTAATTCGCATGAATAGTTAAATTGGATCAGGCTGCTCAAACCGTATATATTCGCAACCATGCGCATTAGTGACTCGGTTATTGCAATTGGTAAGGCGAATTTTTGCGGGCGAGCTTATACCGATTGTGACAAATATTTTTATGGAAAGAGGTACTGGTAATAATACCAAGATTGTTCATGTTTCTTTCAGTTTCTATTTAGTACATATACTGTATTTTATTCAAAATAAAATCGTAAAATTTATCGTAAATCGTAATTTAACACAACATAATGTAAAAACTATAAGTGGTTTAACTGCTCCAGACGTATATATTCGCACGCGATAAACTTTCGCGCACGGCGCGGTAGCTACGTTCAGATGTATTGCGCAGCGAAACGGTTAAGGATGTTTTTTGACTTGTGACTCTTTTTTTGCGGGGGTGTGATATAATACAAATTTTCTACGTATTATATACAAATTATTATTTTACCTTTAGTAGAAAACTTTTCTAGGGACGCCTATGAAAGTCATGACAACGGTAGAGACAGCTCTTAAAAATTTAGTTATTCTATTCTTCATAGCAACAGTTATTGAGTCGCCACACTTTAAATTTGTTAAGGCAACAAAGTTATAGAATTTTTTATCGAAATTCACCTAATTCCTCAAACTAGTATTTCAAATATCAATGCGATCTGCCTGATTATGCCTAAAGTCAGTACAGCTCATGATGGTGCGATTTAGATTATTTCTAGATTTGTGATTACCAACTCCCAAAGTTTGCTTATCTAGTCTCCAAATATCTCTTCGTAATTGAATAACATTCTAAATCATAATTTTTAGTTTGCTGTAATATATGTGGCTCCCGGGCAGGAGGATAAAAATTCGATACTGTCGAACCAAGGCGGTAGTGTGGCTTACGAGCAATTCTTGGCAGCACTCGCCTGGGAAATCGAGCTGGAAGGGCACACGGGTTTCTTGGGCGGCCTACAAAGACAAGGTTCCACGGGACTTACAGCACCCTACATAGCGACGAGTTTTGTGGAAGCCATATTTCATGTAGCCACTAGGATGCCCGGCGACACCCCCGATGCTGTACTTAGCAAGGTAAAGATATAAAAATTAAGTATCCGCTACATGCGTATGAATGCAGGTGTTCAGAATTTGACGCCAACGTTTAAGGAGGTGAAATTCGTAATTTTGTTGGTTTCAAGAATTATTTTTCATGTATTGAATGGCTGTTTTCTTTTTCAGACGAGGCATTTGGGAAACGATGAAGTGCATATAGTGTGGTCTGAACATAATAGAGATTATAGACGTGATATCATTCCCACTGAGTTCTGTGATATTTTGATAACCATTTACCCATTAGGAAATAATTTAAACAGAGTAACAGTTAATTGTAAGGCAGATGTGAGTAACCGTCGCTTTCAAACGGATGAAATAATCTGATTGCCTTTAAATTTCTAGGTGCCACATTTTGGCGTGTTGTTCAATGAAGCGATTGTCGAGAGTAACATCTTAGCCGGGCTGGTTAGAGCTACGGCCCTTTGCGGCAGTCGCTCAAAAAGGGTGACTTACCAGTTTTATCAACAATAGTAAGTATCACCGTCTAAACGTGTCGGAAATGTCAATATTGAATAATGGTAAATTGCAGTTACGAAGAACGCGCTAGATCGTTAGATACTGTAGTGACGAAACACAAAAACAGTGCGACTTATGAAGATTTCATATCAAAGGTGTACAGTCCCATAGGGACGCCCAGTCCATTTTGTCCCAGTGGTTCGTCCTCTAGCGGTGCTGGGGACGGAACTTCGTGTAATCCGTCGATGTTAGCAGCTGCCTTGTTAGATTCCCACGGACATTCACATAAGGGCTCTCAACGAGCAGATCAGAAGTACAGAGGTTGGTTTGGTATTTTTATTTATTTTCGATCGTTGAATATTGCTACTACTGGAATGTATGAAATGTTATCGTTTAAAGTAACTAATTCAATTATTTTTATCGTTTGTACTCGTAAGTCTTAAATAGTAGGCAGTGATTAATTGTCTACATTTAGACCGTGACATGGGTAAGATGTACGGAAAATGTGATTTCATGAATAATCATTTTATATTCTAGTGGCATATTTTAGCAAAAAAAAGCCACTGGTTCTTTTTTTAATTTGAAGGTATTTTAGAGTTTTAAATCAATTTGCAACGAAAAAGTATTTTTGTAAAATGTTCAAGAGAGTTGATGTTAATATAACGTTTAAATTTTTGGAAGTATCAGAATAATAAAATATAAATTAAAAATAAATACCAGTTGACAGCAATTAAGGTATTATTTTTAAATATGTTGATTCTTGTTTGCTACCGTAACAGGGCGCCGTAACAAGGTATAGGCATAGTAGGCACATGCCTATGAGCTCAAGCTGCTAGGGGTGCATGGAAGGGAGTTGAACACAAAAATTAAAAAAATATTTTTCATTCTGGGAATTTTTGTAAAATCCTGTTCCCGAAAAAAAAAATTACCTATTGAAGTTGTAGTATTTTCAACCTTTACATTGCTGGACTACTGTAGTCTCTAGCATCATTCGCGTTGTATGCTGTGCCCAATGTGCTCTCTCTCCACGTAGCCCAGGCGATTTCGAATATTGAAATCCGATGTTAGTATTTACGTTTTTGCGATAGTGTTTACATTAGTTCTTCAAGTGCCAAAAATGGCTTACATGTATAGCAACTTAGGAGTTCATGGATATCGTTTTAATTTATGGTGAAGCAAGACAACATTTGTGTTAGCTCATAGAAACTCTGCAAGACGGGCCCAAATTTTATTAATTAATAATAGCAATAGCGTCAAAAGCAGTTGAATTTGCTGATATAAAATAGGTGTTATAAAATTTTCTTCTTCTTCCCTTAAGAAATTTTCAATATTTTGTTCGTTCATTTTTTATTACACTTTGCCGCTGTGCCTGTCACCGATTGCATGGTTTGCCCTGCCCAAGGTTAGGTTTTACAGTGGACCAGTTTCCAGTGCCATGCAGAAGTGTATTTTTAAATCACTTTGGAACTGTCCTTTTTGATTTTTTTTACAAAATTGTATTTTTTGTAAGAATCCCCTGTACGTTCAAGAAATTTTTTTGTGGATAAGTGCTGAATCACCCTGTACATTAACTTATTTTTTTAATTCCGGATTATTAGTAGATTTACTTTTAAATATATTTTTTTTCAAATAACTATTTGTTTGTTTCTACGGTTGTCTTTGTATTTTGTTGCGACTCTGAAGTTTATTTATATATTAGATTATACATATATTTTTTAAGTTTTGATAATTTAAGTCAAACAATTTATATTTTATTTTTATATTTTTGTTACGTTTTTAAAAATAAAATGTTTGTTTTTGAGTTTCAACACATTTAATTTATCAATTAAGTAGGGACGCAAAATTAAAAGCTTGCCTATAGTAAAATTTCTTCTAGTTACGGCACTGTTTCCTACCTTATGGAAATTTGTCCATATTTATTAAAATTACAAAAATATGAAAATAAAACATCTTTCCCATGCTTGTATTGGGGACTGACTCACCATAAGGGGAAGTTGAGACAAAGATTTCAAGAAGTCAAACTATGCAGCCTCAGTCATCGCGTCAATAGAATGTTCCAAGTGTGAACAAGCAAGTGTGAACATATTAGAACACTATGCGAAATGAATAGCACATTACAATTTTCATGTAGAGAAATCAGATTAAATAGTAATAATTGCGGTTTGATTATTTTGACTCACTACCTACTATTTTGAATGTGGAGCATAAAAAGTGTTTACTAATTTTTAGCTTCGACAAACGATGCGTCTAGAGGCGTTTGGTTTAACAATTCAGACATGCAAAACATGGAATCCAGTATATCTCCCAGGCCCCTAAAAAGGTTATCGACGAATCTGAAGAATTCTAAGAAATCGCTGAAACACGAGACGTCGGTAGAATCTCCCCCAGAGAGCCCCCTGCAAATGACAAGAAGGAAATGACTATAAATAACGGATACATACACACCTCTAATTAATATTGAATATTCCACACCTCTTGCATAGCGAGTTACGTTACACAGGTAGTATTTACTTGGTTGCACCGCGAAATCTGTACATTTGTATTAAAGAATTTAGAAAATAACTGATTGTAAAATGATAACACCAAAATTACAGGTAGGTGTATTTTTGTTACTACTGAATATATGACTTCGTAGGAAGCTCCTTATATTTGTATATTTTGTTACGAAATTTTTATTCTACCATCTTGTATATTCAGTGGACTTTTATTTAAATGGAATTCAATATTCAAGTTTTTAACACTTCATTATTATTTGACTGTTTAATTTTATAATTTTTGTTGAAATAGAAATAATATTTATTTTGACACTACAACGTATTAATAAGATTATATTTATTAACTATTTATTACTTTATTGTCTGTAACTTCGTGCATTTAGCAATCTGTGAATATTTTTCGTTACAATCTGAACATTTATCTGTTTCAGTATTACGGTACATGTATCAGCAATGTACAAATTTTTATTTTCTGTTACGGGAGTCTCGAATATGTTGTTTGCAATTTATACTATTTGGAACATATTTGTATATTGTTGAAATTTAATGCTGGTTCAGTATTAGTGTTTTATATATTTATTTTTTCATTCAATAATATTTTTAATTTTATTACCATGTAATGGTTTGCATTGTACTTATAATTAAAAGCTTTATATTAATAAACTTCTTAAATAAATCACAGAGTTTTCCAGTAACCCTATCTCAGAACATTGATTGTGATTGTCCGAGTATCCTTGAGTAAGTTCTTCAAGATTTTCTTGTTAAATATACATGAACTTTTCATATTCGGCTTGTTTATCACTGCATAAACATAATACGGTGAAAAATTAAAAACAAATAATTACTTATTAAAAATTTTATTTTATAAACAAAAAATAAACATATTGGTAAAGTCTTTCCAATATCAATTGAAGAACCAAGAGGTTGACAGTATGTACCAGATTTGGTCGCGGACGCAGCAACTCGGCATTGACATATTTGAAAATCTTGTTCCCATATTTATTTAGCCACACCCATATACAGGTCTGGTCGAACTAAACGTGCAGCTGGTAGAAATGTATACCCCCAGTTGAAGAATGCGACCCGGACAAACAAAATACAAACACAGCTGTATTGGGCCACTGGGCAATAAATCTCAGCTGTTGACAAGTGACTGATAAATTGCCCAGCAGTGCAGTGCAGCAAAATGCAGAATTTGGTGTGATGTGTAATATAATAATAATATTACAACATGGCAATATTACATCAGTATAATAAAATTGTTCGAGGACATAAATAATTAAAATATGTTGTTGGCCAAATGAACATATAATAGAAATTGTCTACACATTATATACAAATTATTATTATTTTTTACTTTTAGCAGGAAACTTTTTTAGGGACGTTTATGAAACTCATTAAATTTTATTGCCAGGCATTTTTTTACATGTTCAACTGCCTTCGGAAAGACTATATTGATGATTTATTTCCTAATATCCCATTTTATATTCTAACAAGGTATTAAAACATCTTTCTACTTTAATTCATTTTTAATTTTTTAATATACAAATTATAAATTGCAATCACGCAGTTTCATAATTTTCTGTTTTCATATCATTTAGTCCTAAATCATCATTTTGTTCGAATGATCTCTGATAGTGTGTTATCCTCAAGCCTTCATCAGTTTGGTCATCGTCTCTCATACTCTTAAATAAAAGTTAGAAATTAGTTATCAAAAGTGTATTAAAAACGGGTTATTTTAAGATACATTCCGATAACAAATTTTTGAGATTTATGAAAAAATATTAATTAATTATTAGATACATTCTGTCAAAAAAGTATCTGGAATTTTTCAATAAAACGATATATTCAATTAATTAGTCATTAAAATTTATTTTGTCTCCATCAAAATAGGCTCCATTTGAAGCAGTACACTTTTTCCAGCAAACAACCCAGGCGTTAAAGCACTTTTTAAACGCAGATTCCGGTATAGGCTTCAACTCTTTCAGCGATATTTGTTTTAGTCGGTCGAGCATGCGGTGGTAAGCATTTCTAGGCCAGACTTCCTATTCTGGTCCGGGTTCGATCCCTGGCATCGGCACTGGCAATGTTAGTGGATAATGGGTGTTTGTCCGCTTTTTTCAAGTGTAGCCCCCTTCCGCACAGCCTTTGGCTTTGGATTTGGACGTTGTCTCATTTCTGTGGTGTGTTTTATGTTTATCGACCCGAAACATGTTCCACAAAGTGGTAATTTGAGGTTGAGAAAGAGGAAAAGTCATAAGGAGACATATCTGGCGAGTGAGGTGGCTGTTCGATGACATCCCTTGACTTTTTGGTCAAAAATTTATTCACAATTATCTCTTTGTGTGATGGTGAATTATCGTGGTGCAAAATCCAGGAACTGTCCTTCCATAAATCTTGTCATTTGCAGATAATATTCTTTGTTGACTATTTCTCCACCTGGAAGGAATTTTGTGTGGACAACACCATGGTAGTCAAAGAGAACAGTTTGATTTTTGATCGATATTGACAAGGTTTTTTTGGTTTCGGCTCATTAGAAAAGCTCCATTCCAAAGCTTGTTGCCTCGTTTGCATGTCAAACTTGTAAACCCATGTCTCGTCATCCATTATGGTCACAGGGTTCGTAGCGGGCGGGAAAAGTCAGGGAATCCGTTACTCTTCATAAAAAACAGGAAATAGTCAAGAGAATTTTTAAAATATTCATGAAGTCAGGGAATTTGATGTTTGCAAAGGGAAATTTTGTGAAAGCCGGCCCTGGGTTCTTGAAAGAGAAAACTATTTGTGATTTTGAAACGTTCTAAGGGTATAAAAAAGATTATGGAGTCCAGTCAAGAAAAAATTTAATGCATAAACACCAATTAGTATGTAAAAATGAACAAGTGACCTGGATTTTTTTTATAAGTCAGGGAAAACCTGGGAAAGTCAGGGAATTCTTTATTACTTGAACTATTAACCCTGGATGATGAATGTTGAGTCCAAATTAGCACGTTCAAGTATGTCTTCAGCAACATGTTTGTGACGATCTTTTTGAAGAAAATTCAGCTCTTCTGAAATCAGCTATGCTGCGACGCATCCAAAACATCGACTAAAATGGTGCAAACTGATTCATGAGATTTGTTTAGTTCATATGCCAGCTGTCTCAAATTATAATGATGGTTTGCAAGCACCAGTTCCTTCGCTTTATTGACGTTTTCTTAAGTTAAAGATGTTGAAGGACGACCAAATCAACCACTTCTCGACCATATTTGAATTCATTGTACCATTCGTATGCTTGAGTTTTTGATAAAACTGAATTATTGAACATCTTTCTCAATATTTTCAACGATTCAGCACAAGAAATTCCATTGGTAGAACAAAATTTAGGTAAACTCTTTGTTCAATAACTATCGATAGAAAAAATAGTGAAACACACTTCAGGTGGACTAACAAAATTAACGGCTGTAAAAAACTACTTAACAGATTGCGTTCAATCTTCCGTCAGAGTAGAGTATCTTTCCATAAAAAAAATTTAAATCTATGCAGAATTTGACAAATTCTGGATAATTTTTTGACGTAATGTATGCCAACAGTTCTAGGCTGTCTGAGCCCAGAAGGCAGCAATATCAACGTGATCAGATCTAAGAAAAGGCGCCTCAAAAATAAAAGAGAATTTGTTGCTTAAACTATTACAATAAGGATTTCTCCTTTTCCCTTGCAATGACCCCTGGATTCTGACAGCCTACAAACGTGAAAATCTGTGGGCAAGTGTCAGCTCCCACTCTGATTTATCTGTTAGCATATTTTATAAGCTCTATGGGATAATTTCACCTACACCGCAAAATTTGTTCCTTAAAAAGCAAAAAAATACTAACTTGTATATAACTATTCCCTGCGGGGTCATCAAGTACGATAGTAACTGGTAACTCCCCTTCCAATATTTCATCAAACTTTTTTATAAACTCCTCAAATTTCCGTTTCGATTTAGGCTCTTGGGAGTCGCCAAACATATATAAATACGAATTTTGTGGGTCACATAATTGCTCTTGTATGGCTTTCAGTAAACCTTCCACTGTCGTAAAGCGTCCTCCTAACGCATGAGGCCCCACTTCTAGTTGTAACTGTGGAATTTTTAAACTACATGTTTCCGACTAAAAAGGTTTATATACAATATTTTGAAAGATTTGGTATCAAATAAAACCTTTAATATATCCCTGGAAAAGTCATCTTTGCTATTTACATCCACTTCTATTCGTAATCCTTTCTCTTCGATTCCGCTACCAGACTTAACTTCATTTGTCCGGTGTCCACAAATGTCGCAGGTCGTCGCCATAATAACAACTTCTTTAAAATGGGGAATATCTAGATTTTTTATAAGGTGCATACAAATATTTAAAATTTAAACTGAAAAGTCAAAACTGAATACGTAAAATTTTTTTGGTATTAAAAATAATTTAAATAACTTTTATTGCTCTTTAATGCAGCACTCAGTTAATGCAATATTTTTTTTACCCCCTTAAATAGAGCCAATTCATCGGATTCAGAAAGGATACTTGTCATTTTCATATTTGTAGTGCAAGGAGATCCGCAGTTAGAACAGTTGGTAGGAAACTTTAAAACTTCCCCTTCTAACTCTTCTAAAGTATATCCTGATATCGGATGTAAAATTGCACTCTCCTTTTCTCCCGTAATTTCTTCTTTTGTGAATATTCCTACTTCATGATCCTGTTCTTTGTTTCTGGTAAAGTAATGTACCTTACACCGTTCATCGTTTTTTGGAGCATTTGGATTCTCTATAAAACTGTTGCCTGACATGTCTTCTAAAATCTGAAAAGTAACAGATATTATCTTGTATTAAATATAATAATTTACACATACCAGTGTAAACGGTTCTTCTAAAGTTTTCAATTTTTGTAATTTATTTATAACCTCATCTATTTGAGTTGCTATATCTGGATGCTGTATTCTTCTAACTGGTTGATCCTGCTCTAAACCCATGATAATTCGATTTATAATGCCCTCAACAGTAGTTACCTCTGAATTAAATTAAGATTACTTTTAACTAATAGGATTATTACACCTCTTACCTCCTTTTTGGCTTTCGGATGGTATTTCGAAATCTATTTCAACCAATTTAATACTTGCATAATCACTTTTAACAATTTGTCGATTTAAATCCCTTTCCGATTTTACTGTAAGAACGAATTTTACACCTTTATCTGATATAGGTGCACCAGATTGTATCTCGTTGTTTTGATATCCACATTGATCACAAGTGAAGGACATCAACACCACTTCTTTATAAAAAGGTATTTTAGTTAAAAGTAATCTGGTTAAACCCTAAAATGTTCAAATTAACTATAAATACTATTAGGGTTTTTTACTTACAGTAGCATGACAGTTCATACACAGAGATTCAATCTCCGTTGCCTCTGGGTCGGGATCATCAGCATTTAGATTACGAAATAATGGTTTATTTGTTCCCATTTTGACTTCACTATTCTTAACCTATAAAATAAACATAACCTTCAAACCACGACGAAACTTTTCGGAAATCCGGTGATCATTGAAAGTGTACGCAGATAGAGAAAAAATAATTCTAGCTTTGTGGACCCTAAAAGTGAACTCGCCATAATGCAGTGGAACCGTGATCGTGATAATTCGATCAGCGAGCTCGACAAGTGAATTATGCTCGTTTCCACCAAATGTCTTAGAGATTTCTTAACGCTAAGGAAAGAATAACTTACGCTAAGTAACGCTTTTGATTTCCATCTAACTTTTATTTTTCTTGACTATTAATTTTAGGGGGTCAACACATTCAGGAATCAGGGCCATCCACCAAGGCCGTTAAAGTACTTCTTTAACGATCTTGGGCATGCACAAGAAATATGTATATCTAAAATTTGCGCTGTTTGCTGTTTCATTCCCTGCTTACGAATTTCGATTGTTGGAAATCATTCCAGAATTTTATTTGTTATAATGCCTCATCCGGTGCAATGAGAAAATACATCAACCATTTATGAGATCAAGTGCAAATATTATATTCAATGAAAAAAATGCAGGAAGAGTAATATGAACTTACTAGAAAAAGCTAATGTATTCGAAAATGTAAATAGTGGATAAAAAATATATCTACTCTGTTAAAGAATAATTATATGTAGTTGACGAAAATTAACTTGTAAGCTCTCTAGTAATGTAAACATATAATTTTTCTTTTTTCAAAACTCGTAAGTCCATGAGCCTAATTAGGAGTAAACGGAGTAAATTTTTTATACACACCTAAAGTTAGATATGTGCCTAAAGTGTGTTTTGGTACCGACAGAGAACGTTTTAGAACGGTTCAAATTAGTCGACCATTCCATTCATAAGAACGTGTAAGTCTAGACATATTGACAATACCGTTGGGTAACTATTTTCAGCTGTTCTAGGGCTATCCACTGAGAGCAGAACCAAAACAAGCCTTTTCAATCTATAATTCTTCTGTATTATTTTCTGTGTTCTGTTAATTCTGTGATCATCAATCATCATAACATAACCTCAAAATAACACGCCAGCTGAAGAGAAGATAAAATCAAAAAATGTATCTGATGTATTATTTAGAAAATGGGAAACGAGTATATACCTTAAAGGTGTGTAAATATTGTAAGATATTTGAAAAATATACATTTCATATACATTATTTTCAGAAAACGGATCCTTGGGGAAATCCTACAGAGTCTGCTCATCCAGGTACTATATTTATACCATTTTTGATTTTAAAAGATTAACAGCAATTTTAATTTCAGCTCGGTTTTCACCTGAAGATAAATATTCCAAACAAAGAATAATAATTAAATCACGATATGGGCTTTTAAAGACACAAAAACCGGAACCTGTTTATTAGAAAAGTGGATTGTAGTATGTAGAAAAATATACATATTTCCAACAAAAGGCTTATATGTGGAATTATCATGTCAAATTATATGTATACAGTTTTATTTACACACTTGTGACGAGTTTATAAAAAGATTTTAGTTTTAATTTAGCTGCAACTTTACCTTAATCTTAATCCTAATATTTTTACTTTGTTTATAAAAATTTGGTCTTAACCTAATTAAGAATTGGTAATTCAAATATTACAGACTTTTGCACTTGCATACTTGTCGTGGTATTAGTCTTAATCTAAGAAGTTAAAAGATAGGAACTTTCAAAAGACTATTCTTTAAGACGTTAATCTTTAAAACTATGACTTGGTCAGGATTTTTATAAACGTGCACATTGAAATCTGTAGATTTCACTTCTTAGGGTAAAGACTATGGCTAAGTTAGGACCAAGACCTTTTTATAAACTTACCACCATTTCATTAATTACAATTTTTTTATTCATCTGTTTACTATAGTAGGTATTGTGGATTATAATACATAATTATGTATGTATATGTATCAGTAACATCTATGATTTAAATGTTTTGTGAAATAAGTACTGTAAAACTGTGCAGAATTGTATTATAATCAATTATTAAGATCATGTTGATTAAATCTTTCTTTAAAATTGTGCATTAATAATAGCAGGGTATGAATTTTATAGGTGTTCAGCCCTTTTAAAGAACTCATAAAAATATTTGTCTGTACATACTAATTGTAAGTATAAAGCTAAATGTATGTAACAATATATTTCAATAGATATTTTCTAATAGAATTTTTTTTATATTATTTGAATCCTTGATTTTAAAAACAATCTGACTAATAAATGAATGTTTTTTACTGTTCCAAGAAAGAAAAATTGTTTTTCATGTAAGTATACATACTCGTATTCATGTCAAAAAGCAGAGTAGCATATTAAATCGTGAATTATTAATAATTTGTTGTGTATGTTTTTTTGTTTTCTGTTCTGTTTATTATAACTTTTATTTAGCTAGTTTTGTAGAACGTAAATGATTTTTGTTAAAGGAAAATTTCATTTCTTTACATTTTTTTGAGCAGGTATGTCATTCTACTGTTTTGTACTAGTTATACAAATTACAATTGATATTGGTCTAATTATTCTTTTTGTGGTTTCCTATACCAATGAGTTATCTGTATGTCGTTATCGTTATTGTCGTTAATCGGTAGCTACCCCGAGAAAAAAAATGATGGTACGCCACTGCGACAATGTATCCTTATGAAGAGTCAAAAAAGAAACCCCACCAGAAAAGAAATACCACGTGACCAGTCTTATCCAATTATCGTTCAATTGACGTCTCGGTAGATGTCGCGCGGTTCGTTTTCTGTAGTAATGTCCGGTCCGGTGTGTCTTTTAACCCCAGTGTAAATTATAGCTTTTAATTAATTCCGAGTTAAGTGTTTTAATTATCTGAGTTTGTTAGTCTGAAGATAAGAGTTTGATATAACTAAGTAATGTGATGTATCTACAATAAATCTATCCGCTAACACAAGTAAAAGAATGTTTAGTTGATGCCGTGGCCATTCATGTTTTGTTAATTTATTATTATAATTAAAAGTGTGTTAACGTTATTTGTAGTTCATTAGCGTTATAGTGTCTGTACTGTCGGAGATGGTTAGTATATGATTTTTAATTACTCGAATTGTGCCTGTTACGGGTCTAGTTACTTATGAATGTCAAATAGGTTAGTGTGTTCCCGCAAATCCATTGTCAATGAAGGTTTTCAATTTTTTTACAGGATACGAAGAATAAAACAGAAAAGAATCGCAACGGTGACAGCGATGCAGAGGTGAGCAATTATGTTATTTCGTAGCGTTCAATTTATATTATTTTAGATTAAGTTTACGTTACCAGCTATTTTTAGATAAGGAATCTCCGTTTAAATAATTCATGTTTCTACATTGCTACGGTCGGACGTTCGTTAAAAAATTATCGCATTATTTACCGATGTTTTGTTTATAGATTCAGGAATGCTATGTTGTATTTTGTTACATCTAATTTTCCTACAATCAGTTAAGAAGACTGTTACAGATGCTATCCAAATAAATTTTTCACTGTAATAATACGCAATCTATGGGTTGTATTTATACACTTGAAACTTGAAACCGATGTCAGCAGTTGACGCAGTATTGAAACATATTTATTGCAATTAAGTTAAACTAGAAATTGTCAATATGTTTTGTCGCAGACTTTGTTTACGGTAACGCGATAGTGTATTTAATAGTTTTGTTGTTGACCTCTATCTCTATCCACTGGCCGTAGAATTATTACTTTTTTTTTTAACGACGAACCACCACTGACACTAGAAAATATTTGATTTGCTTTATATTTACACTTGCGGCAGTATTTGCGTACGTGATTTGGCCTACGTTTGCGGTTTAATAAAAAAAAAATATTTTAATGAAAATTTCGTGAAATAACCCATTTTTGTAAAAAGTTATTTTAAGAATGCACAACTTTGCAAAACATTACTAGTGCAGAAAGTAGTGGTTATAGTTATGGCTCTAAGTGGTATCTTTCGCAGACGAAAAGGGGGAGTTGTAGAAGGGGTAGTGTTTTATTTATATAGTAAATAATATGTTGGTGATTTTTTTTTACATTTTTTAGCCTAAGACAAATTCTGTCGGGGGAGTCCCTCCACCCACCCCACTTAACAAGTCCAAGCTGACGACTGGTACTGTCGCAGGCCCATTGTTAAAGAAAGACAAGCGACATTCAAGTTCACGATTTAACATTACTAAAAACCGGGAATTGGAGATGCTACCTAATTTGAGAGGTAAATATTGCTAAATTTATAGTTTTTGTTGTGCAAATTTTAGGTTAAGTGCTTAGTAAATAAGTTCAAGTTCATACCAACATAATAATTTCAATTGACTAACTCATTAAACATTTGTCTTAATTATATCTAACCAGACGTACCAAACTTGATTAAATTTAAATTATAAAACCTTTCTTTAATACGCCAAATGAATCGTGATGATACAGAAACGCTTGTTCATCGAAAATCGAGTCTAAAATGTATATTTTTACTGATTAAATACAATACTTTTGAAAATCTTGTTTAAAAATATGCTTTTATTTCTAGTACAGTATATTTTCTTAGTTTTTTTAGGATTATTTGTCGATTACTTTTACAAGGGCCTTTTGAAAAAGGATATTATGCTTTTCATAATATTCCACTATATTTTTAAGTCGCTTTTAATTCAGAATATAAGATTTAAGTTGGGAAATTTTTGTTTTTCAAATATTTGGCAACCACAATCTGGTAAAAGTAGAGATAATATTTTGTCAATAACTTATTTTAGAAATTTTATGTTATCATACAAATACCTACTTAATACCAAGTCGTATAGTTGTAGTAAAAAAACTCGAGTTAATGTTGTTGTTTTTGTTATTAACCTGGTAACGCTGATTGTTAAAAAGGTATATCACCTTCTCATTTTTTAAAAATAATACTAAAATAGTACAAGTGAATAGATTATCATCTTCGATATAACTACGTGTTTGATTCCTTTGTTGTTTTATCAGTAATACTTTAATGTTGTCGCCAATTTAAAACATTTGATTAATCTATTTTTATGTTTGTGCAAGGAACTAGAAATTAATTTAATTTGCCCTCAAAAATGTCTTAACAAATTGCTTTATTTATAAAATATCCTTTACACATTGATGAGCAAAATTAACAGATGCTTTACCAGTTCCAAGATAACTAGGATAAATATAAAACGCATTTATTCTGACCTCATGTGATCATAAAAAGATAAAGATTAACTGCTTTTTCAATTATAAAACGAGTGTTGTCCATAAAATAGCGATGTACCTGACCAAGAGGTATTACGTTAAAATCCAAAATATGATGCTCGACTTTCAGGTTATATTTAAATAACGCCACTAAAAATATTATATTCAGGTAATGTGGTAATAAATAATACATTTTTTAAACTTCAGTGAGACTGAAAACAGTAATAAAAAGTTGGTAAATATTTTTATCTATTTATTCGTGACACATTTAAAAGTACAGAATGTAGTAAATTGCTTGTTCAGAGTTTAATGTCGGATTCTAAATTGCAAACTAACAAAAAATGTTGCTAAAAGCATGTGTTGGGACATGCTTAGTTTTCGAAATAAAGCTTGAAATAAAGTTTTTTAATTTACAAAGAACCAGATGAAGTGATTTTATTCAAACGTATAATGTAATTTAAATTGTTGATAGTCCACAAACAAAGGTGTGGTACAGTTATTCACATACAGGGGTGAAATTATGGAAAAAGTACATAAATGTATTCTTACTGCGTGTTACTATTTATTTAAATAAATGATAATATGATTGACTATGATTGTTTAACTAATTATATGTAGTTAAAAATGCCAAAATATCATTATGTTTGTAATAAAAATTATTTTTCAAATAATCATGTTATCTGTGATTGAAGTAAACTATTATATTTACATGGTTTTCCTTGACTGTTTTCTCTTTTTGCTTCATAAAATAAACTGCACATTTTCATTAAGAACTTTTGAACATCCCGTATCACGAAATCAGTGTTTTTGTGCACGTTTATAGGAAAAATTTTTTCTGGTGTCATTAGAGTTAGGCCAAGCCTATTAGTTACACTCTGAATATTATAAAAATTGATATATATCACTAAAATATAATCGATTATCTACTCATATGTAAATATACGAGTTAAAATTAAAAGTGACCTTACCTCACACTTTAGATAATTATAATATATTACCAATAAAATTAGTTTAGTGAATATTTTCTACCTATTCTTTTAAAAATTTGCTTGTTTCCTTTGTCTAGAACAGTATGAAGGCAGTATAAAACATTTTTTATAAGATATTTTTTGTTTAACAACATTCAATTGTTTTTTTATATATTTAAGCTGGCAAAAAATTTGCAAGAACTTTGCTCTTTACCATTTTTTGTTGTGTTTTATGAATGACCTTGTACACAATTTTGCACTAAGTATGTTTATTTGGATATTTTATCATAAGTGAAAACATTTAAAAAAGCCGCCTTTAAAATTACAAAAAAATATATATATCCCTTAATCAATCCTTTTGGCACAAGGGTTGTTTTAATCAATTTTTAATGTGTTTTCACATAATTAAGTACTGACTATATATTTTTATTTATTGTAGAAGTAGGTTTAATTATGAAATGATAAACGTGTTTTTGTTGTTTCAATAACTACAACAAACACTTAATTATTTTTTAATTTAAAATTAGTCTTAATTCACCCAATGTACATAAATGAATTGAAGGACAGTTTCTACAATATATCGATCAATAAATTGATGTCTAAATTACTTGATACCATTTAGTGATTGTTGTACAAAGAAACGCAGTCTTATCATTTTTCTGTTGAAGTTATAGTTAGCAAACATAAAATAATTATTGCAATTACCTAAGATCTTACTGGTACAAAATAATAGGAAAGTAATTTTTCTGGAATATGCTGTAATAGTAATTTTCAAATTTATGACACTGTTTCCACATTTAATATAATGGTAATTTAATGATGCTCAGAGTAATGGTAACCATAAAATAACAGCGTTTCGGTTCTTCTATTTGTTATTCAACGATTGGAACACTTTCCCGCTATACGGTTTTCTTGCCTTGACAGTTAAGAAAAATGTAATACATGCCTATCAAGATAGTATGTAATTATAAATATTTTTATTGCAATCTGTTATCTATTCACTAATTAAATTCAAACGAGGAGTAAAATCTAATTGTAAGTTCATTC